TAACAGGTAAAAAAACTAAAGTAAGAAAGAGAGAGAGAACACGTAAGTGATGTACTTAAAAGTACAATAGTGACCCCTGGTGGCAGTACTAGTGAAATCAGTTTGCACTGATGCCTGTAGGCCTGTCATACATTTTAGGACTATCATGATCAAGCTTTTTTAAGTTTTGACAAACACAGTGCATAGAAAAGCCAAATACACCAATCAGGCATAACATTCTGACCACCTCCTTGTTTCTACACTCATTGTCCATTTTATCAGCTCCACTTACTATATAGGTGCACTTTGTAGTTCTACAGTTACAGACTGTAGTCCATCTGTTTCTCTGATACTTTGTTAGCCCCCTTTTACCCTGTTCTTCAGTGGTCAGGACCCCCATGGACCCTCACAGAGCAGGTACTATTTGGGTGGTGGGTCATTCTCAGCACTGCAGTAACACTGATGTGGTGGTGGTGTGTTAGTGTGTGTTGCGCTGGTCTGAGTGGATCAGACACAGCAGTGCTGCTGGAGTTTTTAAACACCTCAGTGTCACTGCTGGACTGAGAATAGTCCACCAACCAAAAATATCCAGCCAACAGCGTCCTGCGGGCAGCGTCCTGTGACCACTGATGAAGGACTAGAGGATGACCAACACAAACTGTGCAGCAGCAGATGAGCTATCGTCTCTGACTTTACATCTATAAAGTGGACCGACAAGGTAGGAGTGTCTAATAGAGTGGACAGTGAGTGGACACAGTGTTTAAAAACTCCAGCAGCACTGCTGTGTCTGATCCACTCAGACCAGCGCAACACACACTAACACACCACCACCACATCAGTGTTACTGCAGTGCTGAGAATGATCCACCACCCAAATAGTACCTGCTCTGTGAGGGTCCATGGGGGTCCTGACCACTGAAGAACAGGGTAAAAGGGGGCTAACAAAGTATCAGAGAAACAGATGGACTACAGTCTGTAACTGTAGAACTACAAAGTGCACCTATATAGTAAGTGGAGCTGATAAAATGGACAATGAGCGTAGAAACAAGGAGGTGGTCATAATGTAATGCCTGATCGGTGTGATGTCAGTGCTGTTACTGTAGGAGGAGAGCTAAGGGACATTTCTACCGGACAATCCTCACTTAGGGCTGAAAGGGGAATTTCACAGGTTTTTCAAAATTTCTGCACAATTAAATCAGTAAAGTATAAACAAAGTCATCCAAAGTGTTTTGATGTGAAATGCTCTTTTCATGAGAAACTTACCGAGTCAGAATTTTTTATAGTGGTGGTGATAGGAACCAGACGTCTAAAACGTTTAATGAGCAGTTTTACGATCAGAAACTGACCACGGATGAAGAGGTTAGAGGATGGCTAACAGAAACTGAATGGAAACAGATGGGCTACATCTGTATGCCAGACAGATGGAGCTACGTAGGTGTTTTTTAATAAAGTGGCCTAACTAAGCATATTAAAGTGCATTAACCAACACAGTCTATGAAAACACATAGTAGAGTGTGTGTTAGGCTTTTCTGCCTCTTGCTTTTTTCTGCTTTTTCAGCTGAACACTGGTACTTTACTCAGAGAGGGAATAATGTGTTTTTAAAAAACAGGGGTGGACAGTAACTAAGTAAATGTAATTAGTTTCTGTACTTAAGTAGTTTTTTCGTGTTTCTGTACTGAAGTATTTCCATTTTGGGTGACTTTTTACTTTCACTCCTCTACATTTGAAAGTCAAATATCTCACTTTTTACTCCACTACATTATGAGAAATCTGTCGTTCCTTTTGGTTTATCTGTGTACAAAAATGTAACATGTCAAAACGAAAGAAGCGCAAAGCAAGAACACCAATCAGGGCACAGCGGTCACAAAGTTTTGATCTTGTTTTGACCTGTTGGTCATACCAACCCAGTGCCGCACACGGTTCAACATCAGTGCAGCAGCATAAAATTTTGGGAGAGTCTATTCAACATAAATGATGAACTAATCTAACTTTGTGTAAACAGACCACAATATAGAAATATGTACTCATATGCAGTTGTGACTGACGTGTCTTTTTTCTGAATTTATACAAACACTATTTCATTTTATAGTAAATTAGTTTAGGCTAGTTTATGTTTATGAACAGAGACCTACAGATGCAGTTTAGTAAAGGAAACTCATTTGTGAATCTGAGTTTAAAGTTTTTATTAAACTTAAACTTGTAACTAAGTTCAAATAAATCTTAAACTGAAACTTTGCTTGTTTGTAAAAAGTTCTTTCAGAGCCACTCAGTTCTACCTGATGGAAACTGTTTGCCTTCAGTGTTTTGTGCTTATGATCATTTTAATAGACATCAGCGTCACTAATTAATGACATTCTATTAAAAGACTGGTTTACCAAGAGAGACACTGGAGTATTTTCACCTAAAATGAGTTAATGAATTGAGTCTTGTTATAAAATGATAATAGGACATCAGAGCCATAATTAATCTTTTAGTACTTTTACTTTCAACACTTAAGTACATTTGAAGGCAAATACTTTAGTACTTTTACTCAAGTGGAGGTCTAAAGGGAGGAACTTCTACTTTTACTGGAGTAATATTTTACCTTGGGTATCTCTACTTTAACTCAAGTACAGCGTTTGTGTTCTTCGTCCACCACTGCTAAAAAAGAACTTGCACTGAGAAATAATTGTGTCTACAGTGCTTAGAAGTAGTAACTGTTACTGGAAGAAGTGATTTGTGTACAACAGACATGCAATATCATCAGCAGTGGTCAAAGGTCAAGCTCCCTCTTGCATCGTTAAACCTCCTATCATCAAAATCATCACTACACTTGGATTCTTGACATGTATCAGTATTCGGCTGCCAAATGGAGTTCATCTGGTCAAAAAGGAGCCCTTAAGTCCATTATCACTTAGTCCTCTTAACCTTTCCTCCATTACAAGAGACCTAAAACTTGCCTTGCAGCAACGAATCCCAACTGACTCTGCTCTCGGACATCTGTTAGTGACCATAAACGGGGTAGTTATCGCTCTAATCAGTGGTTAACTAATGGAGATTGGCTTTGGGAGAGAAGTATGTGAAAGACGATTAGAGGATCCAGCTGTGTCTCGTTTAAAGTTCAGCAATCTGGCCTCCACTGAGGCCTCCATCTATAATCTGAGATCCATTTCTCAAAACTGGCATCCAGACTAGACACATTCTGCTTCAGTCCTTCTCCTTTAGCGTTCACATCGCTTTATTCTCGCTGACAGCTTTATTAGAAACACCTACCCTATAGGTTCACCTTGCCGGTGTAGAATTAGAGACTGTAGGCCACACACAGCTTGTGTTAGCCACTATTTAAGCTGTTATCATCACAAACACTGCTATGCTAGTGTTGAGAATGGTGCATCGTCGATAACCATCATTTCTGTGCTTAAAAAACTGACCGGTGATTAATGGGATAGAGGGTGGCTAACAAATTGTGCATAGCACAAGATCTACAATCTGTAATTGCAAACCTACATAGTTGATATAAACCGATCAGGCATAACATTATGACCACCTCCTTGTTTCTACGCTCATTGTCCATTTTATCAGCTCCACTTACTATATAGGTGCACTTTGTAGTTCTACAGTTACAGACTGTAGTCCATCTGTTTCTCTGCATACTTTGTTAGCCCCCTTTTACCCTGTTCTTCAGTGGTCAGGACCCCCATGGACCCTCACAGAGCAGGTACTATTTGGGTGGTGGATCATTCTCAGCACTGCAGTAACACTGACGTGGTGGTGGTGTGTTAGTGTGTGCTGTGCTGGTACAAGTGGATCAGACACAGCAGTGCTGCTGGAGTTTTTAAACACTGTGTCCACTCACTGTCCACTCTATTAGACACTCCTACCTTGTCTGTCCACCTTATAGATGTAAAGTCAGAGACGATAGCTCATCTGCTGCTGCACAGTTTGTGTTGGTCATCCTCTAGTCCTTCATCAGTGGTCACAGGACGCTGCCCACAGGACGCTGTTGGCTGGATGTTTTTGGTTGGTGGACTATTCTCTAGAATAGAACTACAAAGTGCACCTATATAGTAAGTGGAGCTGATAAAATGGACAATGAGCGTAGAAACAAGGAGGTGGTCATAATGTTATGCCTGATCATACATATCGTACAGTACTGTGCAAAAGTTTGAGACCCTTCATTTATTTCATTTCCAGTCAAAATGGCTATTTTTGCAAGTAATTTTAAATTTCAGGATATATTTTTGAGGACAATTGATTCGTGTAAGGAAGGGGAAAGTCAAATTTAAGAAATAATTAAAACCTAAAGGAAAAAATGGGACTCCTAACAACCATGTAAGATCTGGTAGACCACCTAAACTGTTTGCATCAGATAAACAACACTTAACACCTATTCAGATCTGAAAAAAAAAATCAACAGGTGTTTCTGTCCATTGTTCCACTGTGAGAAGACAACCATAAAATAAAACACAGCTGCTGATGTTCTCAGAGCAATGGACTGACCACCTCAGAGTCCAGACCTCAACATCACTGAATGCATTTGGTATTACTTGGATCATGAGAACCAGAATTTGCAACCAATAAGAACGGAAGCTGTAATAAAGCCTAAATAAATACTAAAAAATATTCAATTACATTATTAGTTGAGTCTTCTGTGTCATTTTCTGTTGAATGTGTTTTCTGCTTTATTTCCTGCTGCAAAATGAAATTAAATTTAAATTAAATTAACAGCCATTCTGACTGGAAATGAGTACATAGAGGGTGGTCTCTGACTTTTGCACAGTAAAAGGAACAGTGATAAGGTAGGTGAAGCTCATAAAGTGGCTGCGGAGAGTACTCGGTATGTGTTTTTAATTAAGATGGCGAGCGTGTTCTCAGTAATACGAATGCCCCAGTGAATGTCCAGCATTGCAGCTTTCAAATGCATGTGAAGCGTCTGACCTACAGCTTTAATCATTTTAATGTAGTAAAAAAAAGGTTGTTTGAGGCTTTAAATGAAAGAAAAAAGCGAACAGCCTGAGTCCATGGTGAACTCAAAGTCTGGACACATTCAGCAACATGTTTATTCATGAATCATTTAAGCCTCAGGGTCACAAAGTCCCCTCTTATAGTAAGGACAAGTACGCACCAAGCATGAATTAATTATGTTGTGTAATGGCTCTTTGTAAACAACAGGAAATTATAAGCAATATAAAATAAACAACGTTTTATTTCTCTCAAACATTTCAGTCATTAGAACAGTCTTACCAAACAGATGTTTGTCCACTCACACTGCGTAGCTCATGGACACCATCTTCATTTATTTTAAGGTTCCGGTACCTCAAAATCAAACCTCCTACATATTATATTGATATGATGTGAATACATATAAGCTGCAGCCTGAGCAGTACAGTAAAAATGAATAAATTGCAACAAGGCCGTGGCAAAACCCTTCGACAGACGTTCTCTGTCCTTCACACTCAGTTGACCTTCATCCAATCAGCGATGCAGAATGAGTTTGAGCTGCAAGAGGACGGGCTGAGCATGCCCAGGTAGACAGAGGGGGTTTTTAGTTGTGTAGGAGCAGGACGGGGTCCGGGCTATAAGGGCGAACTGGAGGCTCAGGTTCATTTGCCTGCTTTCTGAGCTTTCTGCGCCGATTTGGTGATTTTGCCGCTCCCGCCGACCTTCTTTTCCACGTTCTTGATGACCCCAACGGCGACGGTCTGTCTCATATCCCGGACAGCAAAGCGTCCTGAAAAACACCCACATGCACACTCACAAATAGAACCATGACTTCAGCACTGCGGTAACACTGACGTAGTGGTGGTGTGTTAGTGTGTGTTGTGCTGGTACGAGTGGATCAGACACAGCAGTGCTGCTGGAGTTTTTAAACACTGTGTCCACTCACTGTCCACTCTATTAGACACTCCTACCTTGTCAGTCCACCTTGTAGATGTGAAGTCAGAGACGATAGCTCATCTGCTGCTGCACAGTTTGTGTTGGTCATCCTCTAGTCCTGCATCAGTGGTCACAGGACGCTGCCCGCAGGACGCTGTTGGCTGGATATTTTTGGTTGGTGGACTATTCTCAGTCCAGCAGTGACACTGAGGTGTTTAAAAACTCCAGCAGCACTGCTGTGTCTGATCCACTCAGACCAGCGCAACACACACTAACACACCACCACCACATCAGTGTTACTGCAGTGCTGAGAATGATCCACCACCCAAGTAGTACATGCTATGCGAGGGTCCATGGGGGTCCTGACCACTGAAGAACAGGGTAAAAGGGGGCTAACAAAGTATGCAGAGAAACAGATGGACTACAGTCTGTAACTGTAGAACTACAAAGTGCACCTGTATAGTAAGTGGAGCTGATAAAATGGACAATGAGCGTAGAAACAAGGAGGTGGTCATAATGTTATGCCTGATCGGTGTAAATGTAAGCAGTGTGTGAAAGTAAGTCACGAATGAGTGGTTTTTAGGAGAGTTTGATTGAAGAAGCTGGCATTACATAAACTGCCTTTCCCACTTAAGCGTTTGCAGATCCCTAAGGGTTAGCAGGCGTATTTTATGGAAATGTGGCACAGATAGAAACCGTGCCTTTTAGTGTTCCATGTCTCAAGTGGTGTGGGTTATCTGTGCCTTACACAAACCAGGCTTCAGGTCATTGAGTACAAGTTTAAAAAGAGAAAGAGGAAAAGAAAAGAAAAGAAAAACAGATGGAGACCAAAGCAAGCTGACAGGGCTGTGAGGCCAGGTCAGGTCATGGAGAGAGGTGAGAGGCTAAACTGGCCTAGTTTAACTATATGAAAGCCTTAGAGGTCATTTATGAAGCATAAGCCAATAGTTTTGTTTTCATCGACTTTCTGCACAAATGTTAAGCGATACAATGAAAATGCGTAAAAAGCTGCTGTCCAGAAGCTTGTTTGCGTCAAACTAGTGTTGTAGTCAATTAGAGGCGAGTCCGAGTCAGGGCCAAGACTTTGTAGTAAGCAAATCTGAGTCAAGACCAAGAGTGGTCAAGACACAGAGACCAGGGGTCAAATTACAGAAAATTCTTAAGTCTGAGATCATATCTTATCTGCTTTGTTGTCATGGTAACTTCAGTTAAGACAGAGTTTAGGACAGAAGCCATTACAGAACAACAGGTCTTAAGTCTATAATCTTCTCTTATTTCCAGATAAGAAACGGTTTTACAGAAACATCCTAAGTTGCCAAAATATCCTAAATATTTTCTTAACTGTAAGATTAACCGTCTGTTTCTATTGTTTATGCAGTGACAGGCAGCTCAGTTCACTATAACCAGCATAATGACGCTCCATTTATCTACACTGAAAACGGTGTTTTGACTTGTGAGGTTTTTTCTTAAACAGTGTTTTTTTAAAAGCCCAGACGCTGCAGACTCGATCTCCACCGTCCCTCTGATCACCTTCGTGTGTTAATGTTGATGATGAAATATTACAGTGATGGTGGTGAATAATGAGGAGACAGAGCTGAACGTGTGTCTGTTTATTAGGAGGAGTAACATTAGCGTGCTCGGCTAACGCGTTTGGGAAATGGAGACTGAAACTGTGGAGTGGCGACGCTCTGATAAACAGCAGAGGGCGCTGACACAATATTCTTAACGTTCAGTTTATCGCGCTTTAGTTCTGTTTGACCGATTTTTACCCCAGTAACGGTAGCTAACATTATTATTATTCTGATTGTGTGTTTACGTTTCAGCTGTGTATGTATGGTCGGTTGCTAGGTAACAGAAACAACAGTTGACTGTCGACTTCAGTCGAGTAAGTTAAGATTTCCTAACTTGAGATAAGAAAAGATGCTGTAAGATAAGATAAGATTCCTAAATTAAGATCAGATTTGTTTCAGTAATACGAGTTTGTGAAAAATCTTATCTTGACCTGTCAGATCTTATGTTAAGACAAAAAGACAGGATCTGTGATATGAAAGATTTTTTTAGAATATAAAAATAAAAGGAAGAACTGAAAAAGCTGAAATATATATGTAGTTCGTTGTACATTCATTTTATATATATCCAAAGTCCAAAAGTCAAAAAAAGAGGCATCATTTCTTTTAAAAGAACTCCCGTCTCGACATCAGCTCTACATCTTTTTCATGCTTTTTGTGTTTGTTGACACATTTGAGGTGAAATCTGCTACATTAAATCTGTTATACTAAATTTATGCAAAAATGTGTGATTTTCCCCTAAAATATGCTGTTTTATATGCAGGTTTTCGCATGTCTCACACTTCAGTTACCAACAAACAATTTACAGCTAAAGCTGAATGGAAAACAGGTTTAGTGACATTCATAAAATATTACAGACAATTTTCATTTCCACAGCCTACATCCACAACTTTTTTGAAGTGTTAACTTGTTTTTTTTATTGAAAAAATCATTTGGATGGAACGCAGCTGATGACAAACTAACAGTAAACAAAAGGCAACACTTCAAGTACTCTCTGGAGTGATAGAGCTCCATCCAATACTTTTGGATTGAGCTGAAGTGGCGATCTAGAACTAATCATCCAACATCAGTAGCTGACCTTACTAATGCCCTTGTGGCTGAATGCAAACCTTCACAGCAATGTTCCAACATCTAATGTAAAGCCTTCTCAGAACAGTAGAAGCTCTTACTGCAACAAAGATGGACAAACACCCTGTTGATACCCTTGATTTTAGACAGGATGTTGGATTGAGCAGGTGTTTGCTACCTTTTTGGAAATACAGCAAACATACATACATATATATATATATATATATATATATATATATATATATATCATTCAGCACTGCAGTAACACTGACGTGGTGGCAGTGTGTTAGTGTGTGTTGTGCTGGTACGAGTAGATCAGACACAGCAGTGCTGCTGGAGTTTTTAAACACTGTGTCCACTCACTGTCCACTCTATTAGACACTCCTGCCTTGTCAGTCCACCTTGTAGATGTAAAGTCAGAGACGATAGCTCATCTGCTGCTGCACAGTTTGTGTAGGTCATCCTCTAGTCCTTCATCAGTGGTCACAGGACGCTGTTGGCTGGATATTTTTGGTTGGTGGACTACTCTCAGTCCAGCAGTGACACTGAGGTGTTTAAAAACTCCAGCAGCACTGCTGTGTCTGATCCGCTCAGACCAGCACAACACACACTAACACCCCACCACCACGTCAGTGTTACTGCAGTGCTGAGAATGATCCACCACCCAAATAGTACCTGCTCTGTGAGGGTCCATGGGGGTCCTGACCACTGAAGAACAGGGTAAAAGGGGGCTAACAAAGTATGCAGAGAAACAGATGGACTACAGTCTGTAACTGTAGAACTACAAAGTGCACCTATATAGTAAGTGGAGCTGATAAAATGGACAATGAGCGTAGAAACAAGGAGGTGGTCATAATGTTATGTCTGATCAGTGTATATATGCAATACAGTTTTCTGGATTTTTTTTTCTAGTTGGTTTGCAGTCTAATAAATGAACTGCTGATCTACATCAGATCTCTCCAGTATAGTGACCTTTATCACCATGCGCTCAAAGCCAGTTCTGATTCATAAACAACACTGTTACTCACAATACTTTGTGACTTGCTATTGAGCAGAGACTCACCCAGAGGAGGGTACTGAGAAAAGCTCTCCACACACATGGGTTTGCCTGGGACCATTTCCACAATAGCAGCATCTCCAGACTTCAGAGTCTTGGGGTTGTCCTCCAGCTTCTTGCCTGAGCGACGGTCAATCTTCTCTTTCAGCTCAGCGAACTTGCAAGCGATGTGAGCCGTGTGGCAGTCGATGACAGGAGAGTAGCCAGCGCTGATCTGACCTGGGTGATTCAGAATGATTACCTGAAAGAAAGAAGGGGGAGTTTGGGGGTATTTTGGGGGTTTTAAGTGCAATTCAACAGGGTGTGCACTGTAGCTTCATGAAACATTTTGCATTAGATGTATGGATTAATCCAGCCATTAATGTAGTATCTGTCCTGAGCACTGGATGAGTTTAGCAGGGAAAGTTGGGTATTTTATTTTGTAAGAGATTCAACTGTTAATAGAGGATAAAGTATCTGTATGATTTCTGCAAATTATCGTGGACAGCCTGGATTGAACCGCAACGGCCCAGATTTACAGTTGTATGCAAAAATTTGGTGAAGTTACATTTTTAGTTGATTTTCTAAGTGAACACATTCTTTCAGAGAACACACTGCTGCACATTTTAATGCAAAATAACTGTTTATTTGCTGAATTTAACATAACATTATATAACAAAACATTAAAAGTGTCCCATTCAAAAGTTAAGGCAGATTTTGTATTTTAATAATAAGTAAGTAATAAGTTATCCTTTATTAATCCCACAAGGGGACATTCACCTACATGTTTAACCCATCTGTGCAGTGAAATACCCACATACACACTAGTGAATCACACACGCTAGGGGGCAGTGAGCACACTTGCCCAGAGCGGTGGGCAGCCCTATCCACAGCACCTGGGGAGAAGTTGGGGGTTAGGTGCCTTGCTCAAGGGCACTTCAGTCACGTAACTGTAGAACTACAAAGTGCACCTATATAGTAAGTGGAGCTGATAAAATGGACAATGAGCGTAGAAACAAGGAGGTGGTCATAATGTTATGCCTGATCGGTGTACCAAGCAAAGAAAGTAAATATATGTATTATAAAATATTATAATTATGATATAATATGAGGTTGCGCAGTGGGTAGCACTGTCGCCTCACAGCAAGAAGGGCCTGGCCGGGTGAGCATAATTACTATTATAATTATATGTATTTTTCCCCTTGTTTGGCTTGTCTTGCTTTCACTTTGTTTGCCTTATGTACCGTCTGTCTGTTGTCAGGTTTTTTGTGTGGCTTGTGGCTTTTATCTTATTTGTCTGTCTGTCTTTTGTCAATTAAAAGAACCTCTAGTGTGTGTTACTGTACTGTAGTTCCAGTCACAGTGTGCTGCTGTAGTTAACACAAAAACAGTCCAGCGTTTGTCTGACCTGTGCTGTGAAGCCTGAGGCCTCCTGGGGTGGGTCTGACCTGCTGTCCCCACACACGTTCCCCCTGCGGATGTCCTTCACAGACACGTTCTTCACGTTGAAGCCCACGTTATCACCCGGCAGCGCTTCGCTCAGAGACTCATGGTGCATCTCCACAGACTTCACCTCCGTGGTAATGTTGACTGGAGCGAAGGTCACCACCATGCCGGGTCGCAGGATGCCAGTCTCCACCCTTCCCACAGGCACTGTCCCGATGCCTGAGCAGAGACAGCAGCATAAAGACCCTGAGCAAAGAGCTGCAGCTTCCACAGACGCCAGGCCACTGTGATGCCAAATGTGTGATTATGTACTGTATTTGTAAATTGCATGAAGGGAACATTCTGAAGAAATGATCAGGGACACAGTTTGATGTGTCGTTTTGATTTTTTCTTCATACTCCTTCAACTTTGCAAAAGAACGTTTATCTTTTAATACGTTATGGCAAACGGATAAAGAAAACATGCTCACATATCGAAAATATTACCTATTAGAATATTAGTTAGCTATTACCTGAATAGCTAGGTGTTCCCAAATTAATTTTACAATTATGACTATTCTGATAACATGAATATAAAGGGTGATTCAAAAAAGATTCATCCGATTTCAAAGCGCCATATTTTTACAACCATGAGGCTCTTAGGAACCAATCACAATCCAATTGAAAGAGGGGCTCATAGAGTTCCTGACTGTCAGTGGAAGATGGCTCCCTTCAGTCTGAGAGGAGATGAGACCCCTGAGCAGAAAGCGTTCTGCGTTCTCCACTTCAATAAGAGTGAATCCGTCATAACTGTGCAGTGTGATTTTCGTGGGCAGTGAAGCTCCAACAGCTCAGAGCGTTCGTCGTTGGTTCCACAACACTGGATGATCTCCGAAATCGCACTGAAAGAGCCGTGAGTGCAGCGACACCCGACATGCTCAATCCAGTATGGGATGAGTTTGACTATGGCGTTGATGTTGTCTGTACAGCTGGAGGAGGTTCATACTGAGACCTTGTACAATTACATAATAAACGTTATGCTCATTTAAACCATTTACAGTTTACTGCATTGATCTGTAATGATTTACAACTGAAATAAATCATTTTGAAATCAGATGAATCTTTTTGGATCACCTTGTACCTGTGAACAAATGTGTGTATTATGTATTTCAGAATACTGTAACACTCATGGCAAATGTCTCTGACATATTAATTTACATGATACGTTTTTTAAATATGAACGTATGCAAGAATTTCATGCGTCAAACAGATTTTGTTAAACATCTTAAACAGACATTCCGGCCAAAATGAAAAATTTGACCATCATTACATCTGTTAACAACATACTCCCATTCCAGAGCGGCAACGCAGTCATCTTTACAGTGAAATTTCCCCGTTTAAAGACACAATGTATCTTGACGATGGGAGAAACTTTTGAAAAACTAGAACTGCTTTGGGGTGAATTTTTAGCAGCAGGCTGTTCTGATTTATTTTTAAGCTGGTGAATGAATGAAGTTCCTCCTGAGAAGCAGAATATCTTATTGCAGCCATATAACTGTAGGAACTGTCTTCAGATCATCACTTCAAAGGAGTGAATGATAACTCGAATGACAGAAATGAGTCAAGGTCTCACCTCAGTTTCACTTTTTTCTGGCTGAAAGGGTAAAAACGTTGCCTCTGGCATCCATTCTGTGCTGAATAAAGATAGAATTGCTGCTTCCTTTGCAATTTAGTTTGACAATTGAGGTAACAGTTACACTGTTAGAAATAGAGGTTCTGTTCAGGTACATTTTTCGTTCATCAAGGTTTTAAGGTCCAATTGTGAACCTTAAATAAGTTTTTCCAGGTGAAAAGTTCGTATTTGTACCTTTTCATAACTGAATGTTTTAAACAGAACAGTAAAATAAAAGCCTGGAGACGAGACGGGGTGTGTGGAGTCAGTACAGCTTAGAACATATCATTTCAGTGGATTATGGTTCAGTTATGTTCCCTGACTAAAGGTACTGAGATGGAGCCTTGAGGGTCCCACCCCAGTGACAAGAGGGGAACTGACCCAGAGACAGTTTAGTACCTTTATTTCTGAGAGTGGACACTAATCTTAGTTTGGTTGTATTTACTAGCCTATTGATCAGTGGTAATCTAGTTTAGCAGTCAGGATTGGTTGACATCACAGGGACTCCCAGTAGTTGTATGATATACTTCCATAATGCATGCTGGGTATTGTAGTAAGGAAATTCATAATCATCATCATCATCATCACTTTAACCCTTGTTAAATGAATTTTGTCTGCGGTACCTCCAATCTTGTAGACATCCTGGAGGGGAAGACGTAAAGGTTTGTCAGTGGGCCGTGTGGGGGGCATGATAGTGTCCAGAGCCTCCAGCAGACTGATTCCAGTGGCATGATGTTCCTTCCTGTCCAGCTTCCAGCCTTTAAACCACGGCATCTGCAGTGGACGATGGTATTACACACTGATAATGGCAGTAACTATGCACAATTCCACACATACACACATCCTCAGGACTTACATTAGAGGAAGGCTCCAGCATGTTGTCCCCATGCCATCCCGAAATGGGCACGAAGGGCACGGCGGCCGGGCTGTAGCCGATCTTCTTGATGTAAGCGCTGACCTCCTTCACTATCTCGTCATAGCGCTTTTCGCTGTAGGGAGGCTCCGTGGAGTCCATCTTATTGACAGCTACGATCAGCTGCTTGACGCCCAGCGTGTAGGCCAGCAGGGCGTGCTCACGGGTCTGCCCGTTCTTGGAGATGCCAGCTTCAAACTCGCCCACACCAGCTGCCACGATCAGAACGGCACAGTCTGCCTATTAGAGAGAGCCAGGGGAGTCAGGTTTAGGCATATGTTGAAAAAAATGACCAAAGTTTTTAACAAAGGTCATTTTTAAGTTCGATTTAACCTCTCAAAGTTGAAGATATTGCAGGAAATAACAAAATGATGTTGTTTCTGACTTGTAGCTCATTTACATAAGTAGGGAAACTACTGCAAGTGCAGATTCTTTAACTTTTAATCAGTATCACATTTGTATTCATAAGCTGAAGAGAAGGTACTTCAGAGTCTTGTTTTGCAGAAAGAAAAAACACCCTTTACATTTTTGCCAACTTGTGGCATTGACAGCTATCGAAACAGACAGAAAAGGTCAGAAATGCAGACTTCAGCTTTCGTTAAATAGATACTACCTTTCAACAGCTTGGAATCGCTTACAATATTAACACATTTAGTTATTTGGCATTGCAGTTTAATTATATAATGTGGATATAAATGTTACAAACTATTTGCCAAATGCATTGTAGATGTTTTGTTTAAGAATTTGAACATGAAGTTATTAAATGACAAATAATGCACTGTAATTATCTGTTTACATTCATTTTCATCACGTTATCTGACTTGAGATTGATCTTCACTTTCGAGTTATGCACTGTTAGAAATGAAGGTTCTGTGCAGGTACGTTTTTCGTTCATTAAGGTACAAACAGTGTAAATGTTCCCTCAAAGCTCCAACAGTGGTTTTAAGGTCTGATTGTGAACCTTAAATAAGTTTTTTCAGGTGAAAAGTTCGTATTTGTACCTTTTCATAACTGAATGTTTTAAAACAGAACAGTAAAATAAAAGCCTGGAGACGAGACGGGGTGTGTGGAGTCAGTACAGCTTAGAACATATCATTTCAGTGGATTATGGTTCAGTTATGTTCCCTGACTAAAGGTACTGAGATGGACCATTGAGGGAACCACCCCAGTGACAGTTTAATACCTTTATTTCTGAGAATGTAATGATGTCTGAAAATTGATTTTATTAGAATTTCATTTTTGGTGTGCTACAGCTTTCTGAGTCTTTTTAGTCATATATGGCTGGCTCTCTCCATCATTCTGTACACATGTAACTTCTCTTAATTTTATCTGCATCTCCCAAGTGTCCTATTATATTATTATAATAGCATATTAGAATAATTTTATACACTTGTCTGCGACCAAACCGGTATATTATTGAAAATATTATAATAGTGATTCCAAATTTAAGATCAGCAGTGTACATTATGTCACTAACCTCTTTAACTCCCTGGAACCACCGGTGGTTCCAAAACGCACTTCGTCACATTCTTTACTTCATAACTCTCATATTTCATAAGCTACATTCAGAAGGTGGGGGTCGTATAAGAGCTGTAACTGTCTTCTTTCCAGTCAAATAGATGGGTGATGTAGTTTTAAACCTTATAGTAAAAGAAGCTAAACTCAGTTGTTTTTTTTTCTACTGAAAGTCGACCCATTTTTTCACAAATCTGGGCTATAAACTATAAACAGATGGCGTCTCTTCAGTGATATGCAGTGCAAAAATTAATTTTATAAAAAAATACAAAGTGCGTCTAAGATTTTTGGCTTTCGGCAGTAAATTGTAAGCATATGACATTGTTTTTGATCATAAAATGCATTTTCTGTTAATTTGAGGGGAGCTTTTACAAAAAAACACCAAAATTCTGATGGAAAAACCAAAATTTACCCTGGAGAATAACTGGTTACTACTTAATCATCATACTACTTAATTATGTAATCATGAAGTTACATTTAAATACTACAGCAAAATGAAACAGAGGCTTTAAAAAGGCTTTGAAAGACGATTTTTAACTTGTTCCAAGGAAACAGGACATAAACTGACATTTAAAAGTCAAAGAAGATTCATTACTGTTAAAAATCTCTTTAGAAATGCTGAGGTGTGTGTTTTTTTTCAGATGAAGACTTATATAGATTTAACTGGATTTATTCCACCTTCATTAAAAGAGCTGTCATAAAATATCTGGAACATAGAACCACAAAATAAAGTCTCAAAGAATTTTTTTTAAGTGGAGAATATCGTTAACCAGATATGTGAGGCTGTTTTACCTGGGAGGTCCCAGTGATCATGTTCTTGATGAAATCTCTGTGTCCTGGAGCATCGATGATGGTGATGTAGTATTTAGAAGTCTCAAATTTCCAGAGGGAGATGTCTATGGTGATGCCTCTCTCTCGCTCGGCCTTCAGCTTGTCCAGAACCCAGGCGTATTTAAAGGAGCCTTTCCCCATCTGGGTCAGAGGGAGAGGAGAAAACTTGGACGTAAAACTAGCAGAACTAAGTTTAATAACCTGTCACGTTACAATGATGACCATCTTCACTTGATACAATTTAGGGAAACTGTTTATAGTAAGTTATTTTAGCCTTTATTGCTAGTTTCTTGATACCAGTAATTCAAATTGAAGAAGTAAACATTTTATTAAAACTTGTCAAAATTTAAAATTTACTACTAGAAATTACACCAATCAGGCATAACATTATGACTCCTCGAGTGGACACAGTGTTTAAAAACTCCAGCAGCACTGCTGTGTCTGATCCACTCAGACCAGCGCAACACACACTAACACACCACCACCACCTCAGTGTTACTGCAGTGCTGAGAATGATCCACCACCCAAATAGTACCTGCTCTGTGAGGGTCCATGGGGGTCCTGACCACTGAAGAACAGGGTAAAAGGGGGCTAACAAAGTATACAGAGAAACAGCTATATAGTAAGTGGAGCTGATAAAATGGACAATGAGCGTAGAAACAAGGAGGTGGTCAGAATGTTACGCCTGATCTGTGTGTACTGTTTTTAAATGTATGAGTAAGTATTCTAAAAGTATTCTCCTAAAAATGCAAAAAGCAACTGCCTTTACAAAATGTAACTTGGATGGAATACAGACACTTAATTTTTGTAATCTGAATCCAATATTTGGATTTAGTTACATCCCAACCATGTATTTTATCATGCAACATTTCAGTTATCTAACAATAACTTATGGCTTTCCCAATTCATTGCAATGGGGGTAACAATTTATAGTAGTTTTTCATTTGATAATTCATTTTTTGCAAGTTTATGTTAAATTTTTACATGTTAAAAAATCTAATTATTACATGTTAAGTTTTTTACTTGTGAAAATTCAATTACTACATATGAAAATGTAATATATGCAAGGAGAAATTATGACTCCCATTCAACTTAATTAGAAAAACAGAATTATTGACAGATATGTATCTTTTTTTTTCATTCTAAAATAAAATTCCTACTGGTAAAATATGGATTTTCATGTTAGAATTCAATTTTATACACCTCAAATTTGAAATTTCATTTAAAAAGTGTTTATCTAAATAAATAATCTAATATAAATGTAATATAATGTTGTCATATAAAGTGCCAGTCTTGACACCACACAAGTATTGACCTGCAGTTACGCCTCACACAAGCCAGACTAAACTCTTTTCTTCCTTACAGTCACATAAAAGCATAACGTATTCACATTAACACACTGACAGGCCTTTCAAATCCAGGGACGTCACTTCAAACGCACAACCCACACCCTTTTCTCTGTATTCTCTACTTTCAGTAGGGCTATCAGATGAAACGTGGAAGCTGGTGGGAAGCTAATGTCCGGTTCTACCTCTGCAGCCTCCTTCTCGAATTTCTCGATGGTTCTCTTGTCGATGCCCCCGCACTTATAGATGAGGTGGCCAGTGGTGGTGGACTTCCCAGAATCCACATGGCCGATCACAACGATGTTAATGTGGATCTTCTCCTTCCCCATGACGAAGGGATCACAGAGGGAAAGACGAGAGAATGTTGCCACCCAGCGTTCCCTGCTCTTCACAGACATGACATGACAGCGTATCGGAAAAACAAGCTTATTGCAGACTCATCAAGCACAACTGGATACAGACATGAAGCCTATCTGAACCTTTAAACAGACGAAAAGAAACGTAATAATAATAATAATTTCCTAAATTTAATTAAACTCAGCTTTGTCATTGTACCAATGCAGGTTTGCAGTGATAAATATAGATAAAAATAACAACAATAATGCAAAGATGAGAAGTGCATAGAGACTAATATATGGACAGTAACTGTAGGTCAGTAGGTAGAATTTAAAGTACAAACTATAGTAAAGCATTAAATATGTAGTCTTTGAGGCATTTACAGCTTAGGTGTTTTATAGCGTGTACTAAACTGGAAGTGTACAGTATGTTGAAGTAAATCACGTCATGTGTGCTGTTTGTAAACAACATCACAGATGTTATATTCAATGTACAGTGAGCATCAGCAGCTTAATGTTGAAGCACACAAGTGTTACCACAGCTTAGAAGAACCAAAAACATGCACCCACAAAAATGCCCTATTATGAATTCTGACTGCTGTGGAAGGAAGAAGCATAAACATTACCAGACAGCTTACCTGCAGCTGTGTTCAGGCAGCGCAGCGTGTTCCCTCTGAACACCCTCTCCTTCAGCACACCGACACAGGGGGCGGCAGGCTCTGAATCCGTCTGCGTAGTGAACGCACCCCACTTTGATACAGCAATGCGGCACTTTAAGTAAGGAGGGAGGAGGGGGAGAGGGAGAGGAAGAGGGAGAGAGATGCTAAAGCAAGGGAACTGCAAAGGCAGCAAGAGAAAGTAAGTGCGGGCGGGGTGGGGTCTGGGTTGGAAGTTGTGAGAAAGGGAGGAAAAGGGAAAGAGAAAGCAGCACAGTGCAAGGCTGAGTGACTCAGCGCATTCACTCCAATTCCCTTCAGACACAGAATCTGATTAATCACTCCTTTCCTAAGTGTGTCAGTTACACGGGCGAGACAGCTGGTACCTGACCGGCACCTTTGATGTAAAAAAGTTACAGTGCAATTATATTTAAATTGCAGATTTGTACTTATATGCTCCCCTCCTGTTTTCCATGTTGCATATATTACTGTGCAGTAGTCAGAGAGCAGCCCTTGTGTATTTAATTAAGTCAAAACAGCCATCAAGTGAAGATAATCATTTTTCAGGTGATGCATCTGAGAAGACTAAATAAAAAATAATACAGTAAAGTTTTGAGATTGACACAGATTTTGATTTTCAAAATGTTTCTGCTTTAGTTTTTGTGTTGGCAATTTGCATTAATTCTAGATTGTTTTGAAGATTGTTCAGATGAATTGCAATAAACTGCAAAGTCATTCCTTGCCATGAAAATGACCGTAATCGCAAAAACCTAATTTCCACTGCATTTGAGCCCTGCCACAAAATCACCTGCTCACATCATTTCAGTGATCTTCTCGTTAGCTCAGGAGAAAGTGTTAATGAGGACAAGGCAGCTGATATCACTCTGTCATGCTGACTGATACATCCATTGACAGATGTATGATTTTACAATGTGTACATATATATATATATACATATATATCTACACTGTATTGCCAAAAGTATTCACTCACCCATCTAAATCATTCAATTCAGGTGTTCCAATCACTTCCATGGCCACAGGTGTATAAAACCAAGCACCTAGGCCTGCAGACTGCTTCTACAGACATTAGTGAAAGAATGGGTCGCTCTCAGGAGCTCAGTGAACTCCAGCGTGGTACCGTGATAGGACGCCACCTGTGCAACAAGTGAATTTTCCTCGCTACTAAATATTCCACAGTCAACTGTCAGTGGTATTATAACAAAGTGGAAGCGATTGGGAACGACAGCAACTCGGCCACGAAGTGGTCGGCCACGTAAAATGACAGAGCGGGTTCAGCGGATGCTGAGGCGCATAGTGCGCAGAGGTCACCAACTTTCTGCCGATCGCTACAGACCTCCAAACTTCATGTGGCCTTCAGATCAGCTCAAGAACAGCGTAGAGAGCTTCATGGAATGGGTTTCCATGGTCGAGCAGCTGCATCCAAGCCTTACATCACCAAGCGCAATGCAAAGCGTCGAATGCAGTGGTGTAAAGCACCGCCACCGGACTCTAGAGCAGTGGAGATTGGTCTGGAATGACCAATCACGCTTCTCCATCTGGCAATCCGATGGACGAGTCTGGGTTTGGCGGTTGCCAGGAGACGGTACTTGTCTGACTGCATTGTGCCAAGTGTAAAGTTTGGTGGAGGGGGGATTATGGTGTGGGGTTGTGGAGTTGGGCTCGGCCCCTTAGTTCCAGTGAAAGGAACTCTTAATGCTTCAGCACCAAGAGATTTTGGACAATTTCATACTCCCAACTTTGTGGGAACAGTTTGGGGACGGCCCCTTCCTGTTCCAACATGACTGCGCACCAGTGCACAAAGCAGCTCCATAAAGACATGGATGAGCGAGTTTGGTGTGGAAGAACTTGACTGGCCTGCACAGAGTCCTGACCTCAACCCGACAGAACACCTTTGGGATGAATTAGAGCGGAGACTGCGAGCCAGGCCTTCTCGTCCAACATCAGTGTCTGACCTCACAAATGTGCTTTTGGAAGAAAGCCTTCCCAGAAGAGTTGAAGCTGTTATAGCAGACATCATATTAAACCCCATGGATTAAGAATGGGATCTCACTCAAGTTCATATGCGTGTGAAGGCAGACGAGCGAATACTTATGGCAATATAGTTTGTATATATATATATATGAATTTTTTATCATTTTACTTTTTCTTTTTTACTTTTTGCTTTGGCAACAATAGTTTACTACAAATCATGCCAATAAGGTTATTTGAATTGAATTGAAATTGAATTTAATTAAAAGAGCAGACTGGTTGCTTTAAAAGGGAGGTGGTGCTTGAAATCATTGTTTTCTTCTGTTGACCATGGTTACCACCAAGGAAACACGTGCAGTCATCATTGCTCTGCATCAAAAGGGCTTCACAGGCAAAGATACTGCTGCTTGTAAGATTGCCTGAAGAAGACTTCAGGGCGGTCAAGAAAGTCCAGCAAGCGCCAGGACCGTCTCCTAAAGTTGACCCAGCTATGGGATGGGGTCACCACCAGTGCAGAGCTTGCTCAGGAATGGCAGCAGGCAGGTGTGAGTGCCTCTGCATGCACATGGAGGATGGCCTGGTATCAAGAAGGGCAGCAAAGGAGCCACATCTCTCCAGGAAAACATCAAGGACAGACTGATATTCTGCAGGAAGTACAGGGACTGGACTGCAGAGGACTGGGGTGAAGTTATCTTCTCTGATGAAGCCACCCTCAGACTGTTTGGGACATCTGGAAATGGGAATGACTGCCCAGAGAAGAAAAGGTGAGTGCTACCATGAGTCCTGTGTCATGTGAACAGTAAAGCATCCTGAGACCATCATGTGTGGGGTTGCTTCTCATCCAAGTGAGTGGGCTCACTCACAGTTTCCCTAAGAACACCGTCATGAATAAAGAATGGTATCAAAACATCCTCCAAGAGCAACTTCTCCCAACGATCCAGGAGCAATTCGGTGATGAACAATGCTTTTTCCAGCATGACGGAGCACCAGGTCACAGGGCTAAAGTGATAACTAAGTGGCTCGGTGAACAAAACATTGAAATTTTGGGTCCATGGCCAGGAAACTCCCCAGATCTCGATCCCATTGAGAACCTGTGGTCAATCCCCAAAAGGAGGGTGGACAAACAAAAACAGAATTTTTTTTCAGAAACTGAAATTGTAAAGAACTCCAAGCACTGATTAGGGAAGAATGGGTTGCCATTAGTCAGGATTTGGCCCAGAAGCTGATGTCCAGCATGCCAGGGCGAAGTGTAGAAGTTTTGAAAAAAGAAGGGTCAACACTGTAAATATTGAGTCTTTGCATAAACTTGATATATTTGTCAATAAAAGTTGGATAAAACATACAAAATTCTCATAATTGTACTTCAGTATACCATAGAAATATCTGATAAAAATATCTAAAACCACTGAAGCAGCAACACAGGAGTTTCCAAAACTGGATTTAAAAAAATATTGGCAGATACAGAGAAAACGGGACTCCAAACAACCATGCAAGACCTGCTAAACCACCAAAACCGCCACCATCAGATAAACAGAATGAACAACGTTCGACAACACTTTACTGTAGGGTTCTATCCATAAGGCTACATGACATAAGCTTGTCATATCAACTGACATAACCCTACATAAATGTTTATATATACTTATTCCAATAGGTGTCATTCATTATAAAGGCTACATTTGCCAGTTTTGATCAAAGTTAGCTAAAGCAGTGTTTATGACAGATGACACCTATTGGAATAAGCGTTTATAAACATTTATGTAGGGTTATGTCAGTTGTCATGACAAGCTTATCGCTTTTGACATAGTTTGAAAATACCTATGACCCTTTACATTGTTTGTAAATTTCTTGAAGAATGGACCAAAAGAAACGACCCAAAATTACTTGGAAAAAACTTCTGGTTCCATTGACTTACATTGAAAGTGAAGTAGGTTTTTTGCTTCTCCTGTAAAGTTACCATTTTGGAGATACGAGGTTTTCTTCCGACAACAGCGTTATGTAAGTGTTATGTAGCCTTATGAACAGCACCCTGCAGTAAAGTGTTACCAAACTTTCATCTCTGAGAGAATCAAGCTGCTTCAGATCTGAAAACATCCACAGGTGTTTCTGTCCATCCTTCCACTGTGAGAAGATGACTCAGCGCTGTGGGTCTGAAAGGATGTGTAGCTGTTCAAGAAGAACCTCACTGAGAAAAGAAAATACATAAAAAAGGAAAATCAAACAAAGAAGCCCCTGGTGTTCTCAGAACAATGAACTGACCACCCCAGGGTCCAGACCTCAACATCATTAAATGCGTTTGTGATTATTTGGATTGTGTGAAGCAGAAAATACAACCAACTTCTAAGACTGAACTTTGGAGAAGAAATATCCCTGCAGGAAACCTCTCTTGAGAACAATGGGCCTCATTCACCAATATCTTTCTGAGATTTTCCTTAAATTTGTTCTTGAAAAAGGGTCTAAGTTCACAGGTGCTCCCTGTTCTTACCTAAGAACAAATCCCAAATAAGAAAACACATAACCTCTTATGCTTGTGGGTATATATCAGTTTTTCCATCTGAATTTACATGCCCAATCGTAAGGCAAATTATTCAGTAACTGCATAAAATAAATGCAATGTGAAAGCTCCCCTCAAATTAACAGAGCATGTGTTTTATGATCATACCAATATTGCTATATGCTTACAATTTACTGCCGAAAGCCAAAAATCTGAAGAGACGCCGTCTGTTTATAGTTTATAGCCCAGATTTGTGGAAAAATGGGTCGACTTTCAGTAGAACAACAAAATTGTGAGTTCAGCTTCTTTTATTATAAGGGTTTAAAATGACATCACCCATCTATTTGACTGGAGAGAAGACAGTTACAGCCTCATACAACCCCCACCTTTAGAATGTAGCTTATGAAATATGAAAGTTATGAAGTAAAGACTATGATGAAGCGTGTTTTGGAAACACCGGTGGTCCCACTAAGTTAAAAAGGTTAAGAAGAGATTTCTTCTTAAGAACGGTTGGGAATGAGGCACAATGATAGCTATTATAAGAGGCAAAGGGTTCTGTATTAATTTCTGTTAAATATGTTTTCAGCTTGTTTCCCCGACTCTTAAAAATGAATAACTTGTACATAACGGCTGTTTCGACTGAAAATTAAATAAATGGAATGTGGCCTGTAACTCTGACGCAGTACTGTATTTGTTTTAAAAATTAAGGTTTCTTAATGGTTCCTGACTTTGATGTATGGTTCTAGGAAAGACCTTTAACTGGTGTACAGTCTTCACATTATATGGAGGCTCTTCGCACTTTCAGAAGGCTCTTCATGCTTGCATTTACAAAAATGGTTCTTTAAAGAACCGTCCATTGTTCTTTAGTGAACCAAGCTTTTCTTTGATAGTGTCCACTCTCAGAAATAAGGGCATGAAACTGTCACTGGGGTGGTTCCCTCAATGGTACATCTCAGTACCTTTAGTCAGGGAACATAACTGAACCATAATCCACTGAAATGATATGTTCTAAGCTGTACTGACTCCACACACCCCGTCTCGTCTCCAGGCTTTTATTTTACTGTTCTGTTTTAAAACATTCGGTTATGAAAAGGTACAAATACAAACTTTTCAGCTGGAAAAACTTATTTAAGGTTCACAATCAGACCTTAAAACCACTGTTGGAGCTTTGAGGGAACATTTACACTGTTTGTACCTTGATGAACGAAAAATGTACCTGAACAGAACCTTTATTTCTAAGTGTGCTGCTCCAAGGAACCCCTTTTGTCTGCTTTATTTTTAAGACAGCATACATGCATCGATCAGGCATAACATAATGACCACCTCCTTGTTTCTACACTCATTGTCCATTTTATCAGCTCCACTTACTATACAGGTGCACTTTGTAGTTCTACAGTTACAGACTGTAGTCCATCTGTTTCTCTGATACTTTGTTAGCCCCCTTTTACCCTGTTCTTCAGTGGTCAGGACTCCCATGGACCCTCACAGAGCAGGTACTATTTGGGTGGTGGATCATTCTCAGCACTGCAGTAACACTGACATGGTGGCAGTGTGTTAGTGTGTGTTGCGCTGGTACGAGTAGATCAGACACAGCAGTGCTGCTGGAGTTTTTAAACACCTCAGTGTGTCCACTCACTGTCCACTCGATTAGACACTTCTACCTTGTCAGTCCACCTTGTAGATGTAAAGTCAGAGACGATAGCTCATCTGCTGCTGCACAGTTTGTGTTGGTCATCCTCTAGTCCTTCATCAGTGGTCACAGGACGCTGCCCACAGGACACTGCTGGCTGGATATTTTTGGTTGGTGGACTATTCTCAGTCCAGCAGTGATACAGAGGTGTTTAAAAACTCCAGCAGCACTGCTGAGTCTGATCCACTCAGACCAGCGCAACACACACTAACACACCACCACCACATCAATGTTACTGCAGTGCTGAGACTGACCCACCAACTGCTCTGTGAGGGTCCATGAGGGTCCTGACCACTGAAGAACAGGGTAAAAGGGGGCTAACAAAGTATCAGAGAAACAGATGGACTACAGTCTGTAACTGTAGAACTACAAAGTGCACCTATATAGTAAGTGGAGCTGATAAAATGGACAATGAGCGTAGAAACAAGGAGGTGGTCAGAATGGTATGACTGATCGGGGGTCTATGGATACAAAACAGTTGAAAGGTCGTAGAATTATGCACCAAAGCAGACTAAGAACATCTACACTCATGTCTTACTTTCATAACACAACACCAATGACGTTAAAATACAGCTTGATTTAATAAAAGGTTTACACCTTTTAGAAACAAGGCTTTTAGAACTAATAAATACAGTAAAACAATGCTGTAAAAATCACATTTCTCCTCAACAAACAGAATGTAAGGGATGGTGATGCATAGTCCGGCACATGTAACAGTGTTCAACAGTGTTTTTCAATCACATATGAAAAAAATAAATTTCAGCTATAGTGTATGACTGAAGTATATAAGCACTGTGGGTGTATGTACCTTCAGAACAAGCAAGGCTGGGTTCCTCGTACTATGCAGTCATTCAGTACAAATCCAGAGCCTCATGAGAACATCAAAACCAAACTGAGTCCATGTCTTTATGTACTTAAAAATCTCTTTACTAACTGACCACTACGATACCATATATTCTAACTAACCAACATAGACCATATTCATATTTCCAACAGCTGCCAAATGATGCAATACGACTCCACAGCTGCGTTCCAGAGCCTAGGCTGCAGCTGAGGTAGTGCGGTTCCTTGGTAGGACTGTCCTATGAAGACTCCTCCTTAGTAGCCTATTGGTCAAACTAATGGATCAGTCCTAACGAGGATGCGTGGTGACGCCACCAGAGCGGCGCCAAACTCGGGAGGGAACTGGTGAGAGAAAATGGAGCCGCTGCATCGAGTTTGTTGCTTTTTTGTTGAGATGTTCTTATGTAGTACGATAAACTACATACATACAAATACTTCTAAATAAAATGATATATGGACGATATACGATATATGGACAGATGCTTTAATTAATCAGTCGTTTTACATTTTATAGGGTAACGAAGACGAATTCAAGGACGGGAACAACTTACATTTTAAAACAAACTCTGCTTCAACGGCTTCGTTTTCGTGGTGTTTTTTGTTCTCCTTCGCGTTGTTTGTGCACAGAGAGCTGTGGGTAACCGAAGGCCTGGAACGATACATCTACGTCCTTGAAATCACTCAGAACGTAGGCTGCATTTCTAGGTTGTATATGAAGGGTCCTTCACTTTGGAACAGGCTGCTATGATGCTGACTGCAGTCTAGGCTTTGGAACGCAACTCATATCTTCCTGTTGCAGCAATTCAATCAAAAAGACACATTTTCAGGTGTGGAAATTCACAATGAGATTACCTGGAAAACATAAAAAATTAAGACACAAAAATTCTGTTTAAGATGGAAAAAAACATTAACAAAGAACACGACTTCATCTGCTTCTAACCTTCCAAATGAGCAATGACATGGATGCAAGTCTACAGGTTTCCACTGCTCTTCAATTCCTGATACTTTTTTCTAGAGTTCTGCCTTTCTTCTGCGAAATGCTCTGTATGCATGAAGCACAACAGCTTCCTCTCATCACTGTGAGCTTCTGCAATAACCTCAAATGCTGGAACATCTAACGATCTCAGATCTTCGCGCCTCAACCTCATCTGAACTGCAGATTAGGCTAGTGCATGCCATTTCTCTCAGTCTCAACCAGCCAGCCTCTCCATGTGCCTCTGGTCTGTAGGTCGCCCGCCGCCGGCCGTCTCTACGTCCTGCGGCGCTTGGCTCCCCCGGGGCTGGACGGGTTGCCAGAGCCGAGCGTCTTGTCCGTGGCGCGGTTCCTTTTCCTCTTCTCGCCCGTGGCCTCCTTCGATCCTCCACCCGACTCACCCGAGGCCCCCCTCTCCCTGTCGCGCTCTCTCTCTTTCTCTCGCCCGCTGCCCGAGCGCTCCGTCTTTACTGAAGAATTGCTGCCTGACGAAACAAAAAACAGAAAGAAACAGAGGGAAGGATAAAGAGAGGGGTTAGTAGAAGTAGATGAAGTGCATTTCACTTTCAAAGGCTACTCCACCTGATCAGTTCGTACTGCAGGAGTGCAGTACGTGTGGATTAAGTATTATTCTAGTGGAGTATCCTTTTAAGTCTCAGCCCATTTTCCTCACAGCTAAATGTCCAACATTCCATAAAGGGCTTCATATACAGTCATTATTTAAGGAAAGAACCACCAATCTTTCAAAAGTAGTTCATTCTTTCCTCTCTTTATGCTTTACTTGCTAAGTTTCAAGATGAATCTGGATAATAAACACAGTAAATGGGGCCAAGATGCAGGTCAAATATTGGCCTGATAAACTCGATGTAAACATAATGAAAGATCTTTACTAAAGCAATGCTCTGATATACATACCGATCTGGCATAACATTCTGACCACCGCCTTGTTTCTATGCTCACTGTCCATTTTATCAGCTCCACTTACTATACAGGTGCACTTTGTAGTTCTACAGTTACAGACTGTAGTCCATCTGTTTCTCTGCATACTTTGTTAGCCCCCTTTTACCCTGTTCTTCAGTGGTCAGGACCCCCATGGACCCTCACAGAGCAGGTACTATTTGGTTGGTGGGTCATTCTCAGCACTGCAGTAACACTGACGTGGTGGTGGTGTGTTAGTGTGTGTTGCGCTGGTCTGAGTGGATCAGACACAGCAGTGCTGCTGGAGTTTTTAAACACCTCAGTGTCACTGCTGGACTGAGAATAGTCCACCAACCAAAAATATCCAGCCAACAGCGTCCTGTGACCACTGATGAAGGACTAGAGGATGACCAACACAAACTGTGCAGCAGCAGATGAGCTATCGTCTCTGACTTTACATCTACAAGGTGGACTGACAAGGTAGGAGTGTCTAATAGAGTGGACAGTGAGTGGACACAATGTTTAAAAACCACTGCACCACTCAAATAGTACCTGCTCTGTGAGGGTCCATGGGGGTCCTGACCACTGAAGAGCAGGGTAAAAGGGGGCTAACAAAGTATGCAGAGAAACAGATGGACTACAGTCTGTAACTGTAGAACTACAAAGTAAGTGGAGCTGATAAAATGGACAATGAGCACAGAAACAAGGAGGTGGTCATAATGTTATGCCTGATCAGGGTACATACAGATTAAGAAAACTATTATAAAGGGTAATTCAGTCATATAAAATTTTAAATACAATTGTTTGTCATGTTTTTAAAATTATAATAGCGTCACAAAATAGGGGGGTGTTGATAGTATGCAACTCCTTAAGAAATGTTAGTCTGTAAATACGGATTTCCCCAAATGTCATGTAGCACAACAGACAACAAAGGACTTTCATTCTGACTTGTTTTTAAGAAAGACTGGGCAGGGTATTTCATCATAATGAAGACCCCAAGAAACCTTTGCAGTGCAATCCCAATAGCCTTGCACAAATATACAAGTTAATTAGGCTGGTTCAGTTTACAGGTAGTCAGGTAGGACAACCCCAGGAAAACCATGAAAATGTGTACTTATTTACATATGTATAAACTTGAGTTCAAGGACATAAATTTATATGGGTGTTCAAGCACAGGTTTTCAGTAATGTGTGGTTGCGCCACCAGTCTTGGTGGTAAATCTGATGGTCCTGTTTACAAATGAAATGATACTATTTTAAAGCCTATGCAATACATTTTAAAGCACTAAATGCACCTCATATTCTTTTTAATAGCAATGTTTTAAATAATGATTTTGAACAGCATTATTTGCCATTGGCCCAGGAAGAAAATGTGATGGTCATATATTTCACATTTCGGACAAACGTATCAGCAAATGTCCAGACATTCAATTAATTCAACTGTGCATTTCCTATAAAATGTCTGTGCCAGACATTTTAAACCAAAAGGTCAACACATTTTCAGGCTAAAATAGTTTCTGAGATGTGGCTCTGACCAAACAAGCAAGCATCAGCTTCATTAGAATGATAGTCTATTAGCCAAAACACAAGCAGAATCGTGGAGAAATATTCTCCCACTGCAATACATACAGTCCAAGTTATGCTCCCAGTCTTTTCTATCGAGTAGTCTGATTCTTGTTAAAAACACATTTGACTTCAAAACTGGTGGAATTTGCCTTAAACGAATGACTCACGAATGAAAAAACGAATGACTCGCGAATGAACGAATGAAATATCAAATTTACACAGCTGTCTCCTTTTGCCAAACATAGATGAGGTATACAAATCCCCCAACTTTGGGATAATCTTCCAGTCAGTGTTCGGGACTCAGACACAGCCTCAGTCTTTAAGTCTAGGCTAAAACCTACTTGTTTAGTGGAGCCTTTGGTTAATTAGTTTTCCCCTGTTAGATAAAAGGTGCAGATCTGGGTGTTCATGGACAGAGCCTTGTTATATTCCTGCCAGACCTACACTTCAAAACATACAGACCAGCTAAACAGAGAGAGAAAAACGCTGACATTTGCTACCAAAGTCCGTCTATGCCAACTTTACTCTGTTTGACTGAATAGAATTGCTAGTTATGAATGTTAATACGGTGATTTATGAAACTTTAGTAACATTAGGCTGTAGATAAGACCATACTATCCTACCATGCACATGCAAGCCAGACAAAATGCACGCCTGGCTTTTAGCTTCAGTGCAGTGTTAGCAGAGAGGTAGCTCAGATTCACTGTGATCAGTGCTCCGTGCACTGCATGTTATTTTGAATGAAACTTTATTTGAAATTGGCCATAGACCAAGCGTTTGTTACAGTGCGAGTACAAGAACAAGATTTCTAAAATCACACTCTAAGGCCCAATCCCATTTCACCCCTCGCCCCACCACTGAGCCCTTAGCCCTTTGTTTTCCGCGTTCATGTCTAGGGTTAGAGTGTCCCAATTTAGGGGGGTAAGCCGACGTGTTAGGACTGCATGGCCCTCCAAACGGAGGTTTTTCAGAGACTCCAAACAGAGTGATACGAGAAAAAAAGAAAAACTAGCAAGACGGCTGAACAAGAGACCAAAGAAACCCACAAATGTGAGAATTTTCTCTGTTTAAAAATTACGATAACCACAGTATTATCTTAGCTTAATGTTGTTTCCATGTATTACAGTCGTTTTCTTCGTAGCAAGCATTAAAAAATCGCTAATAGTATGCTAATTTCTCAGTAGCCAGCTTGCTAACTTTCCCGTTCCACCTTAAATAGTCCAGCAGTTCTGACACCTGAAGCGCCAGAATGTAACTGCTGCTACATTTAAGGTGGAACGGGAAAATTCGAACAAGAACCTGGTGAATATCTGACTTCAGCTTCATATCACTGAAGAATTAGGGGTGGGTGATAATAAATAATTGCCCCCTCTTTGAAGGCATATGATTCCCTAAATGTAACTAAAGCCCAGCAGTGAGGAGCTGAACTTTACCCTCCTCTGCTGTCACTGCAGACTGGCAGGGTCACCTACAGAGCAGCGCTGGTAGCTGTTAATGAAGTGATGCTCTTTTCATTTGGGGGTCTCATTTTGTAGAGGAAGATTTCAACCACTACCGCTTGTAACTCAGTTCCAAGGGGTTAGGGTGACACTCGGAAACAAGGGGTAGGGTTAAACAGAAGAAATGGGACTGGGCCTAAGTCTGGCCTCAGAGGACATTCAGCTCAACCAGCCAAACAAAACACTTCAGACATAAAACTCCACAAGCGAGCTCCTTGGATTAGCCTCCGATGTGACTCCTGCTGTCACTGAGCTACAGAGACTGCACAGGGTGTTGAGCCTAAGAATAGATTGGGGTTCAAAACTATGAAACATACTTTATTTATAGCTGTACAGAAGCGCTTTTCTGATGCGCAGCAAAACTCTTCACTACTGCAGCACTGCTTGATAAAAGGTCACTAGTGTAGCATAACTAGCTAATTCACATCATTTAAAATCAGCTGAATTTAATGATTTAGCTGTTAAAATACGCTGCCCTCATTTACATTAACAACTGCTTAATTCTAAGCAAGTTACTCAGTAGCCACGTTGACAGGCAGCCTAATAATTCGTTAATAATTCGACTAATCGCTCAATCGGAGTAGAATACGTCTGATTGAGGCCATTTGGAATACACTTTCTATCTGATTGAATGGGGTGGGTAATAATCAGTTAAACAGAGGAATAATATCCGTGTAAACGCCTGTATCTGATTACATTCCCAATCGGAAAGTTTAAGTACGTTTTGCATGGCGGAGCAGAAACTGGTCTGCAGAGGAGACGAAGTTCATGCTCTGATCTTTAAAAGACGGCGGTGGGACGGACGTCCAGCTTATGTGTCTCAGAACACGACGTCTTCCTCTCGGCCTTCTTTAATAAGGACATGTGAAGGACGTTTTCCTGAGTCTGACATCATTTTAAAGCAATTAAAAACACAAGCACTGCTCACTGCTGCTCATCTCACTCTGACTGGACTCACTCGGACAAGACAGTTGGTTGTCATGGTAATGTCTACACTAAGTGGTTCCCTATGCATGCATGCCATTTTGGATCAGATTACTTGTAGTGAGCATGTAAACTGAGACTTTCATCAGATTGTTGAGTAGAGTGAAAATAAACACCTCAGTCTTAATGTGTAATCGGAATGTATTCAATCAGATTGGCAAAAATCTTTGCATGTAAACACAGCCAGAATGATATCGGACTCAGTATCAGCGAATATTAAAACAATATGTATAACAATGTGTGAAACAAAAGCTAACACTGTTTGTTTTGTCACCCATCTCAGCCACATTACCCTATCAGAGCAAATGCTGTGTTTGCATGTTTTGCATTACTTTTCACGGTTACCGTAGTCTCTCCCGTTGACCCATTGACTGTAACTATCTCTGTAATCAGACATAATCAGCCATCTCTCACAGATTCAAAGCCCAACTTCTGTCAGAAAAGCAAAGCTTAAAAACACACACTGCCCACTGCTGTGGGGTTGTTTACGTTGCCGTGGCTATGCCAATCACTGCGGTCTGAAACACCCACACAGTTCTGATGGTACAAATATTTTTCAGTACCTTTCATCTTCACTTAAATTATGGTTTAGCATACAATTCTTTCAAATCTAACTTTGGTTAATCGTCAAATTCACTTATCCTTACCATCACTGAGATATTTCGATTACAATCTTCAATTGCAATCGAGTCGACAGCCGCTTTAAGGCCTGAAACATACTTTACGCAAGGACGCAAATGCAAATGACAGCGCTTGGCCAATGCACTGCAAACACTCGGCCATCGATATGAAAGTATAACTCCACCAACTCACCACCCCTCATTTAACATGAGGAAGTGCTGCCTTCCCTTCGCAAAGCCTTTGGCCACAATATTGTGAACTTTCCTGGTATCAGTGCCACTTAATGTTGTAATTGTATGACTTTTTTTCTCCAAATAATACGACTTATTGCTCGAAATATCACACCTTTTTTCTCGGTCGCTTTTTTCTCGGTTGCTTTTTTCTCGGTCGCTCGGTCCTTCTGTACAAACTCAACGCGCATTCTTACGTTGCTGCGGAGGTTAAAACACTCAGTACTGAAGGGGGCAATAGAGGACAAATCAGAGAGGGATCTACTGTTATTCCAACAGCCTCAACAGCTAAACATGTAGTAGACAGTAGAGGAGAGTGAGCTGCTTTACCTCTTCTCTTGGACTGGAAATGCGATAATTAACCAAATTATTCAGTAACTGCATGAAATAAATGTATGTTTTTATTTTGTTTATTTTTTTGTAAAAGCTCCTCTCAAATTAACTGAAAATGTGTTTTATGATCATACCCATATGGCTATATGCTTACAATTTACTGCTGAAAGCCAAAAATCTTAGACGCTGTTTGTATTTTTTTATAAAAATAGTTTTTACAGAGCAGATCACTGAAGAGACGCCATCTGTTTATAGTTTATAGCCCAGATTTGTGGAAAAATGGGTCGACTTTCAGTAGACAAAAAAATTGAGTTCAGCTACTTTTATTATAAGGGTTTGAAATTACATCACCCATCTATTTGACTGGAAAGAAAACAGTTACAGCTCTCAAACGACCCCCACCTTTAGAATGTAGCTTATGAAATATGAAAGTTATGAAGAATATGACGAAGTGCGTTTTGGAACCACCGGTGGTCTCAAGGAGTTTTATGCCGTCTTTGCGTGAGACTCAACTGCTTGTCTGCTATGGCAGTTAAGAAAGCACGCTGGAGGTACAAGACAGCTTGGTCAGGCTTGGCTGGCGTTATGGCGCCCCCTGCTGTAACGCTCAGAATGCAGCTCGCGCTTGCGTCGCGTTATGAAATATATACACATTTTTTAATGCAACTACCGTCTGCGTAGTTCGAAGCGTCCTTGCGTGAAGTATGCTTTGGGCCTAAGACTCGTATTCAGCAGCCCCATACATCCAACTTCTTCACAAGGCATGCCTCTATCCACACACAGCAACACAAAAGGAAAAGAGAAAGAGAAAAATGAAAGAGAGAGAGAGAGAGAGAGAGAGAAAGACGCACATGCTCAGAGGTCTCTGAAGGCTGCCTACAGAGGCCTCTGGTTCTGAGCTGGTCTGTACTGAGCTCAAGCTGGAGTTTTGGAACAGAGTGAAACGTTTTCTTCTGTCCATACCTTGCAAACTCCTGGCCAGCCATACTGGGACCCAGACCTTTGAAAATGAGACACAAATCACCAGGGTGAGCTGCACCGAGCTACGAGCCAAATGGGAGAACGATCCGGAAAAGAAAAAGAAGAAAAATGCAATGACGCAGATGTAAAAAGACGTCTTGCGTCAGAAAGAGAGAAAGAGAATGAAAGAGAGGGCAAAGCAAAAAGGCAGAGGACAGCAACGTGGAAGAAAATGAGGGGGAAAAAAAAAAAAAAAGAGAGAGAGAACCTTCTTCATGTGTGGCGGAAAGGTCCCTCTCTTCTTTGAACTCTTCTTTCAAGTCGTCCTCTGAGCCTACCTTCCCTGTAGAAAGAACCAAAGAAGACATTCAGTCAAGACACGGCAAATACTATATACGAAGAAACAAACCTTAAATATTTAGATAAACGCATCTCACCTTCTTTAACATCCTGTATTATGTCCTCAGGTAGCACAAAGGTCTTTTCTGAGTTGGGAAAGGGCAGTATTTCAGACTCGTGCTGTAGAAATGAAAACAGGTTAATTACTTTTTCTTACCATAAATTAAACTGTATTCTCAGTCAGGTGGTTGACTCACCAGTGCCTGCATGTCGTACATTGTCCCCAGGTGATCCCAGATGACTTTTGAAGACACCTGCCTCCCAATGTTTTGACTAAATTTATCACGAATGCAAATCATATGGAAGTGACGGTTGACCCCTGCAATAAGACAAGAAGCAGTAAGCCCCAGCATGGCTAAAGCAGGTTCGATTAACAGCTATAGTTTACTCATGCATAAGACATTTACAGTGCTATACAGACTTATGTCGTAAATGATTACTGACCAATTACTGATTTACGTTACATTTCACATTTGCAGATTCAGTTTTGTCTAAATCAGGATTGGCAAACTGGATTCCTTCCGGGCAACAAAGCTTTTCCATCTTCTAACACTTCCTAAGTGAGCTGAGATGAACTAGGATGAGCCAAATTAGCTGTATTTTACGAGGGCGTTTTAGGGCCACTGATAATAAAAATAAAAATAGTAGACTTTGAGAATAAAGTTGTAATATTTCGAGGATAAATTGGGCACACACTCCTGTCTCCTTGTGGATCATTTTGATCATCATTCTCTCTGTCTGTGAAACTTCATGCCCTCTTTGAATGGTGTGGAGATGTAGCCCCCGATAGCCGTGTAGACGACCCTGCCTGAGATTCTCCTTCAACACAGACAGACAGTTTCCTCCGAGTCCGTCTGGCTCTTTATTCTAGATAAACAGTTTCCTGCTCAGCCGTTTCAGCCGGTTCTTATACTAATAACAGGCTGGTGCTGATGTGCAGGAGAGACAGGGAGACTGAGTGTTTCTTTATGGGTGAATCGATATGAAAGTAGAACTCCACCAACTCACCGCCCCTCATTTAACACGAGGAGGTGCTGCCTTCCCTTTGCAAAGCCTTTGGCCACGATATTGCAACCTTTCCTGGTATTAATGCCACTTTAATGTCGTAATTCTGCTTTTTTTCTCCAAATAATACGACTTATTGCTCGAAATATCACAACTTTTTTCTCGAAGTCTACTATTTTTATTTTGATTCACAGTGGCCGTAAAACGCCGTCGTAGTATTTAACCACATGAACCCTACAAACCCGATATGCGCCCCGACTGAAGCCAACTTGAAAACCGTTTACCTTCTTAGTTCATGACCCCTATGGGTCACATTCATATCGAGTCATAAAAAAAGATATAATACCTCACCAGCAGGTAGGGAAAAAGAAATCAGCCAATAACATCATGCATCTCTTTCCCCATTCCCACCCTCTCTTATTTATCTGAGGCCTCTGTACTCTATACTGTCCTAAGCTCTCTGTGCAGAGAAAAGCATGGCTTATGAAGGGTTTGGTTATATGGGGTAGCTGTACTTAAGCATCATAACACCAGTACTGGAGCAGGAACACAGTGACCACGAGGCCTCCTGTGTCACTGACATTGTATTTGACTTCTGTATGAACGTAACCGAGAGGGGAGGTTAAACAAGCTATTAAATGATTTTGTAAACATATTTAAACACATTTTGAGGTAGAAGTGACTCTAAAGCACCCGCTGAGGGCTAATCAGACGAGGCTGAAGTTGGCTTTCTATTCGATTTTTCCCTGTCCACCTTAAATGGTGCAGCAGCCCCAGGTCCCAGAATGTAACTGCTGTAGATTTTAAGGTGGAACGGAGAAAATTCGAACAAGAAGCTTCACTTTAGCTTCGCCCTGATCAGCTACTCTACAACAAACTACGGAGCCCCAGAAGGGACGGAGGCAAAAAAAAAATACCGTAGCGAACATTTTGCAGTTCGTACGTTTTTTTTTTTATTCGTAATCACGTTTTTCTAATTCATTCTCTCGTTTTCTTTTAATCGTTTTCATGTTTAACTTTTAACTGAATGCATGTTGTTTATTTTTTTATTTGAGCGCAAGATCAACGTAGTAGATGCAGGTCGTGTTATTTGTCCTGTGCAGGAGTAACTAACAGCTCCCTGAGACTGTCTGACGGGTTTTGACGTGTTAAACTGATGAGATGATGGACGGAGATGCTCATCAGGATTTTCATTTAAGGGGTTATGAGGAAAATGCAGCTCCTCTTCACAGCAAACAGCCCACAGATTCATCAGTGCAGCTGCAGTTTGGTGGAGAAATGAACGAAGACGATAAACTACAACCACAATGTTCACTAAACTGCATTTTCTAATGATCATATTTAACAGAGACAGAGACGCAGCGCAAACGCTTAGCGCTGTTTCTGCTCCCACGTCAAGCTGCAGTGTTAGAGATCATCACACAATTACAGGAAGAAATGATCAGCGTCAACATTTCAACATCCTCAAATTATACACACAGAAACATTCATGTGGGATGAGGTCAAATGGTGAGAGAGTTTAATAGAAAGTGGTGGACGAAGTACACAAACCCTGTACTTGAGTTAAAGTAGAGATACCCAAGGTAAAATATTACTCCAGAAAAAGTAGAAGTTCCTCCCTTTAGACCTCCACTTGAGTAAAAGTACAAAAGTATTTGCCTTCAAATGTACTTAAGTATCCAAAGTAAAAGTACTAAAAGATTAATTATGACTCTGATGTCCTATTATCATTTTTGTAACAAGACTCACTTCATTAACTAATTTTAGGTGAAAATACTCCAGTGTCTCTCTTGGTAAACCAGTCTTTTAATAGAATGTCATTAATTAGTGACGCTGATGTCTATTAAAATTATCATAAGCACAAAACACTGAAGGCAAACAGTTTCCATCAGGTAGAACTGAGTGGCTCTGAAATCACTTTTTACAAACAAGCAAAGTTTCAGTTTAAGATTTATTTGCAACTTAGTTACAAGTTTAAGTTTAATAAAAACTTTAAACTCAGATTCACAAATGAGTTTCCTTTACTAAACTGCATCTGTAGGTCTCTGTTCATAAACATAAACTAGCCAAAACTAATTTACTATAAAATTAAATAGTGTTTGTATAAATTCAGAAAAAAGACACGTCAGTCACAACTGCATATGTGTACATATTTCTATATTGTGGTCTGTTTACACAAAGTTAGGTTAGTTCATCATTTATGTTGAATAGACTCTCCCAAAATTTTACGCTGCTGCACTGACGTTGAACCGTGTGCTGCACTGGGTCGGTATGACCAACAGGTCAAAACAAGCTCAAAACAGAGTGCGCTGTGCCCTGATTGGTGTTCTTACTTCACGCTTCTTTCGTTTTGACGTTATGTTTTTATACACACATAAACCAAAAGGAACGACAGATTTCTCATAATGTAGTGGAGTAAAAAGTGAGATATTTGACTTTGAAATGTAGTGGAGTGAAAGTAAAAAGTCGCCCAAAATGGAAATACTTCAGTACAGATACACGAAAAAACTACTTAAGTACAGAAACGAATTACATTTACTTAGTTACTGTCCACCACTGTGAGGATGTTGAAACGCTGATCATTTTGTCCTGTAATTGTGTGATGGTCTCTAACACCGCAGCTTGACCGGGGGCAGAAACACCTTGAGCTGTTTGCTGTGAAGAGGAGCTGCAGTTTATTCATAAACCCCCAAATCAAAATCAGACCTGATGAGCATTTCTGTCACAACACAAACACAAACGACGTGCATTCAGTTAAAAATAAAACATGACCACGGTTAAAAGAAAACGAGCGAACGAATTAGAAAATCGTAATCATGAATGAAAAAAAAAACGTACCCACGATGTAAAGAAAACGTGCGCACGATTTAAAGAAAATGAGGGAACGATTTAAGAAATCGTGACCACGAATAAAAGAAAACGCGCGTACGACCTGCAAAACGTTCGCTCGAATTATTTATTTATTTTTACCTCCGTTTCTTCTAACTTTACTCGTCGTTCTTTGTGCTTGGTTAGCTAAACAGCTCAATAAGTTAGCTTCTTGTGCTAACTGGCTAAGCTAAGCTAGTTAGCCGGCAAATTAACTGACTCCAGTTTCAAAGCGCTGGTTTACCAGTCTAATTAAAATGATCTCAGAACCCTGTCTAATTATATTTGCATTTTAAAATTATTTTAATTACACTTAAAAAATTCCTCACAACGCTGGCTCCCCGGCTCCGGAAAAATGTGGCCGACCACACGGCCGTCCCGTATGCGGGCTTTCGGGTTGCCGGCTAACGGACTGAAAGCTGCACTCTACGCCGGGGACTGAGGCCTAGTGTGATGAGCCCGTACGGAAAATACAGAAATGTGTCTCACCGACAGGTTTATGACCCAGCATGGCGTGAAAAAGACACACTTCCACCTCCTGACTCCACACCACCGACTCATCAGCGGCACAGCTCCCGGAATCCCCTTGCTTTTCGTCGGCTGGGACTGCTTCAGCTTCACCCATAGTTTCCAGTGGCTGCCTTACTACGACCAGCCAGGCTCCTGCAGTGGAGAGTCCTCAAAGCCCGCCTACAACAGGGCCAAAACAAATCCGGCTACACGGGCCGCACAGTGTTTCATATCGCAACGCATAGGGAGGTATATCGTAAAAACGGAGGTATAAATTACCACTTTTAGACCCAGCAAAGGTTTCCCCATTCATAAGTCTGTGAATATGACACTCTCACTGCGCTTTACACTGTAACACTGCTGCAGCTCCTAGTTATGTCTGTACTCACTGTGCCTTTAGACCTCATTCCACTCAGTGCCTGATATCATGTAAATACAACAAATCTGTCTTATATGCTATGTAAATATGCAAATAGAGATACTTTTATTTCTACTCTCTTTAACTTATGTCTATGTCTTTATTTTCTGCATAGTATATGTAAGTTTATGTGCAATTATATGTCTTGCTACTGAAACACTGCAATTTCCCTTCGGGATCAATAAAGATCTCTCTGTCTATGTATCCATGTATCTATCTATCTATGTCTGTTTATCTATCTGTCTGTCTGTCCATCTATCTACCTGTCCGTTTATCTATCTGTCTGTGTCTATCTACCCGTCTATGTCTGTTTATATATCTCTGTCTGTCTCTCTATCTATATATCTATGTCTGTTTATCTGTCTGTCTATGTTTATCTCTGTCTATATATCTATCTATGTCTGTCTATCTACCTGTCTGTCCGTCTGTCTATCTCTGTCTGTCTGTCCATCTATCTACCTGTCTGTTCATCTATCGATGTCTGTTTATCTATCTATCTGTCTGTCTGTCTACAGCAAATTTATATTAATATGATAAAATTACAAGCCACAACATTTAGTCCACAGAACATTGCATAAAAAAACATTTTTTATTTTTCAAATTAACAGTTTCACCTGCAAAAAACTATAGAACTTCCCTGAAAGGCATGTGGCAAAAGGGTTTGTGTACCACCTGAAATCCTGCCAAAAGATCACCTTATTGATTTAACAGTGACCTTTAGTAAACAGTCCCAGATCAATACAATAGCACAGGGCTTTAAAAGCAGCACAGAACATCCCCAGAATTAAAACATCACTCCTGGTTTACCACCATAAAAACCTGAACAATAAAGTACATTTTAAACTTTGGCAAACAACCCCTTTATAAACTAGAGCTGCAACAATTAATCGATTAATTGATTAGTTGTCGACTATTGAATTAATCGCTATTTTTGGTAATCGATTAATCAGTTGGAGTAAATTTTTTTAAAAAAGGTAAAAAATTCTCTGATTTCTGCTTCTTAAATTTGAACATTTTCTGGTTTCTTTACTTCTCTGTGACACCAAACTTTGGAAAACACTCGTCGACATTTTTCACCATTTTCTGACATTTTATAGACCAGACAACTAATCGATTAATCGAGAAAATAATCAACAGATTAATCGACAGTGAAAATAATCGTTAGTTGCAGCCCTATTATAAACCATGTTCAAGCAATGCCATGAATGATGTTGCTAAGTGAAAGGTCTTGCTGCTTGTCATCCACTAGCTTGTGCATATGTGCACACTGCAGTTCTTCAGACGGGCTCTCTGTGAAAGAACCCTTTGAGAAGACAACATAGTCCCCGTTAACGTGTATCCCATGAGTCTGGCAAAGCCGAGCAGCTAGGGAACACTCCAGAGACAGGATGTCTGCTAATTTCTGGACGGGGAAACGGCAGTTTCGGCTGCTGTGTCCGTGGCTGTAGAGCAGAAGCAGATCCCTCCTGCAGGACAGCAGGTGCCGGTGGAGGGCGCAGGCCTGCAGAAAGTCCAATCTCTGGGCCAGGCGGAGGAGCCGGACAGGGTTGCGTTCCATGTAGGCCCTATTGACTGCCAGAGCCAACTGAACCGGTGAAGAGTGCCGCACCTTGTGAGGTAGCTCAAGGGCATGCTGGAGAGCCCGTGGTGAACCTGGAAACACACAAAAAGAGAAGGAAGCTTTAGGAAAGAATGACCAAGGCTACGTTCACATTACCAGGCTGAAGTGGCACAAATCGGATTTTCTGCCCTAATGTGACCCAGATCTGATGTTTTCAGGGCTGTGTGGACACAAATCTGATCTTTACAAATCCGACCTGAGTCACTCTCATATGTGGTCCTAGATCGGATACATATCTGATTCGTGGCCATGTGACCTTAATGTGACGCTTAGATCGGAATTCATGTGCTTTTATCAGCCCTTTAGCGTTACCATGGCAGCAGTGCCGAACAGAAATTAAAGCCTATAAACAGTGGAAAAGCAGCACATCTCACTTTTGTCTCCTTCATCTCACTCTAATAATGAAGCTGAGAGCCGATCAGAGGTAACACTGAGTGTTTAAAAACTCCAGCAGCACTGCTGTGTCTGATCCACTCGTACCAGCACAACACACTAACACACCACCACCATGTCAGTGTCACTGCAGTGCTGAGAATGATCCACCACCCAAATAGTCCTAATTATTTTATTTTTTTGTAAAAGCTCCCCTCAAATTAACAGAACATGTGTTTTATGATCATACACATATCGCTATATGCTTACAATTTACTGCTGAAAGCCAAAAATCTTAGACGCTCTTTGTATTATTTTATAAAAATAATTTTTACAGAGCAGATCACTGAAGAGACGCCATCTGTTTATAGTTTATAGCCCAGATTTGTGGAAAAATTGGTCAACTTTCAGTAAAAAGTTCAGCTTCTTTTATTATAAGGGTTTAAAATTACATCACCCATCTATTTGACTGGAAAGAAGACAGTTACAGCCTCATACGACCCCCACCTTTAGAATGAGGCTTATGAAATATGAAAGTTATGAAGAATATGACGAAGTGCGTTTTGGAACCACCGGTGGTCTCAAGGAGTTGGAAAGGTTAAAAGCTGCATAATGTTTTTACAGTGTACACAGTCAGTGTCACTGCAGTGCTGAGAATGACACCACCTAAATAACACCTGCTCTGTGAGGGTCCATGGGGGTCCTGACCACTGAAGAACAACAAAAAAGGGGGCTAACAAAGTATGCAGAGAAACAGATGGACTACAGTCTGTAACTGTAGAACTACAAAGTGCTCATATACGGTCAGTGGATCTGATAAAAAAAAGACAAGTGTAGACACAAAGTACCTATTAAAGTGGCCAGTGAGTGTACATGTGGTAGGCACCTAATAAACTGGCAACTCAGTGTCATTCTAACATTCCTGCATGAGAAACACACTCAAAGGCATCGCATCCACTCACCCAGGTTGTAGAGCAGGCTGAGGGCCTGGAACTCGTCCTGGAGCTGGTGCTGTCCCTCACTGTAGCACTCCAGCAGCCAGCTCAGACTCTCCTGTAGGTGTGTGTCGTTGATGTGCGGGTCGTAGAGCCTTAAAGGTTGACCACACAGTCGGTAAGAGGCGTACAGGAGGAAGCGCACCGTTCGCTCCAGCACGCTCGCACACTCCGGCCCAGAAACGCGCTGGATAACCATGTCCTGCCGCACGCTGCGCAACCGGTCAAACACAAAGCTGTAGACCTGAATAACATCCAGAGACAAAATAAACCTGTCCATGTTACTGATGAGCTGGAAAAATGGGAACAATGAGTGCGTATACATGCACTCAATAATCCGATCATAATCAGATTTCTGCAGTCATCCGTTTATTCAAATGGTCATGTAAACACCAAACTCCGGTCTGCCTTAATCTGATTAAGAAATCTGATTAAGAAGAGCTGGATTTTAGATCAGTAAGATTTCTTAGTGCATATAAACTCTTACTCTGATTTCTTTCGGATTTCTCAGTCTGAGCATGTGCGAGAACAGACGGTGGAAGTCACGAGACGCAGCAAAACACTGTTGGAGCGGCGCTAAAACCAAATACGAAATGAAGGATTTGAATATTCTTCATCTTCTAGATGATGTACGTTTATATTTCCAGGCAAATATTATATTTTCCAGCGGGATTTAAAAAAAAAAAAAAAAAACTGCGGTATGAAGTTTGAGTTTTACATTATGTTTACGTCGCGTCTTCTTCTGAGAGTTTATTGGCTGATTACAAAGCAGAAATCTGATTACTGTCTGACTCATGTAGACCCGAAGTTTCCCATTATCTGATTACTCAAGAGCATGTAAACATGTTGATTGGATTACTGACAAAATCAGATGTTCTGCAGTTATCAGATTATTGAGTGCATGTATACGCACTGCTTTGATGTGAAATGTGCCAACTTAAAATGTCAAAGTTGTTCACAATGGTGGTGATACAAACTAGAAGTTAGAAGCATCTATATTGCTTCTAAAAGCTCCCTCATGGAAAAATTACACAAAATGGTTACAAATATGCTGCCTGATATTTAATAACAGATTTGAGACAAGCTTGTGGCCTACACTGTTAGAAATAAAGGTTCTGTGCAGGTACATTTTTCCTTCATCAAGGTACAAACAGTGTAAATGTGCCCTCAAAGGTTTAACAGTAGTTTTAAGGTCTGATTGTGAACCTTAAATAAGTTTTTCCAGGTGAAAAGTTCGTATTTGTACCTTTTCATAACTGAATGTTTTAAACAGAACAGTAAAATAAAAGCCTGGAGACGAGACGGGGTGTGTGGAGTCAGTACAGCTTAGAACATATCATTTCAGTGGATTATGGTTCAGTTATGTTCCCTGACTAAAGGTACTGAGATGTTCCCTTGAGGGTCCCACCCCAGTGACAGGAGGGGAACTGCCCCAGTGACGGTTTAATACATTTATTTTTGAGAGTGTAAAACATATTTTTAAATGCATTTATAGTGGAGCGGTACATACAGAGCACTGTAAGGTAAAACTGTACCAAAAAAAGATTTAACTCTATTTTACTGTTATCAACATTACATATAAACACTCAGAAGGTATATGAAGGTTCACTGGTTTTGGAAAGTAAATAAAATGGCTATATTTGCACTGTAGACATTGTGACCCCTGTTCCCCGTCACTGCCACCATTTCACATTAAATCACTCTGAATGACTGTTTAATGACTGAATTATTCAGAAATGAAGAAAATTGGTAAAATTCCCTTTTAAATTAAGTTGTTCACTCAACGATAACATATTTTTGCACACTCCTGTTCATTTTCTTCCTCCTCCACTGTATGACTTTTGGTGAACAGGCCAATATACAGGCTACCAGACCCAAATTTCAAATTCGCTTAATGTGTATGAAAGTCAATTCTACATTTCTACACCACTTTCAGAACAGACATCATAACAAAGCAGCTTTGTAGAAATCCGGCTCTGGATCTCTACCAAGTAAGCAGATGCCAAAAGTGGTACGAAAAACTAGAACCAAGGCCCATTTCACCCCTCGCCCCTACCACTTAGGCCTTAGCCTTCTGTTTTCCGTGTTCGCGTCTAGGGGTAGGGTGCCGCCTATTTTTGTTGAGATAGAGGGGTAGGGTGAAGTGTTAGGGCTACATGACCCTTCAAACGGAGGTTTTTCAGAGACTCCAAACAGAGTGATATGAGAAAAAAAGAAAAACTGGCAAGATGGAGAACAAGAGACCAAAGAAACACACAAATGTGAGAATTTTCTGTTAGAAAATTACGATAACCACTGTATTATCTTAGTTTAATGTTGTTTCAGTGTATTATGGTCATTTTCTTCATAACAAGCATAAAAAAAAATCACCAATAGCATGCTAATGTCTCGGCAGCTAGCTAGCTAACTTTCCAGTTCTACCTTAAATAGTCCAGCAGTTCTGACGCCTGAAGCGCCAGAATGTAACTGCTGCACCATTTAAGGTGGAACAGGAAAATTTAAACAAGAAGCTGGTGAATATCTGACTTCAGCTTCATATCACTGAAGAATTAGGGGTGGGTGATAATAAATAATTGCCCCCCTCTTTGAAGGCATATGATGCCCTAAATGTAACTAAAGCCCAGCAGTGAGGAGCTGAACTTTACCCTCCTCTGCTGTCACTGCAGACTGGCAGGGTCGCCTACAGAGCAGCGCTGGTAGCTGTTAATGAAGTGAAATTTTTTCTATTTTAATTTCGTAGGGCAAGATTTCAACCACTACCCCTTGTAACTCAGTTCCAAGGCGTTAGTGTGACACTTGAAAACAAGGGGTAGGGGTTAAAAGAAGAAATAGGATCGGACCCAAGTCTCAAAGATGAACTGAATGGAATCCGTACTCACCTGGCCGTACCAGATAACATCAAAATAAGTTTACAATTGCACCGAAGAGGCACTCTGTTAATATACCATATCAAAGATCAAACAGAAAAAAGTCTGTGAGATAAGCCCATGACTAATGTTATAAGTCTATCCGAAAACTGTGAGAACAAATCGAATGGTTTAACAAAACCTTGTATCTCCAAAATGGTAACTTTACAGGAGAAGGAAAAAACCTACTTTACTTGTAATGTAAGTCAATGGAACCAGACTTTTTTCCAAGTCATTTTGAGTTATTTCTTCTGGTCCATTCATCATGAAATTTATGTACAACGTAAAGGGCAACAGACACTTTCAAATTATGTCAAAAACTAAAAAAACATCAAAAATGGAAATACGAGGCTTTGGTCTGACAGCAGCAAAATACAAGATATTAGATAAGAGACCATGGCAGGTATAGAGCAGAAACAGGTTAGAGCTCATAACAAATCACGACAGGAGTCTAAGCTGGATATGATCAGCATCTACACTCATCGTGAAGACATACAGGGACACAGCTGCTCACCTCAGTCCAGGGCTGAAGTGTAGGACAGGCTGCTATGTCGTCCACCAAATAGCACACAGTCTTCAGCAGCACGTCCGGCGGCCGCAGCTCACTGGCTCTTGTGGTATCCTTCCCGGCTGCTGGACGGCTGTATTCCTTGACTACACGGCCGTCGTCTGCACGGGGCAGGCGCTCTCGCTCCGTGCCGGCCAGGATCTCGAAGCGGTGCAGCCGGTTCTGCGCTTCCCTCTGCCGCACCTCTGAAATGGGACACATGGTGGTGCAGCTGCCGCGAGGGGCCACATCATCTGCTTTCTCTTCTGTTTTGCAGTGTTCCTCACACCTCCTCCCTCCAGCCTTCCTGGAGCGGGGTCTCCTGTGCATGGGGCAGTTCACAACAAGACGTTTAGCTCAGGGGTGTCCAGCTACGGCCATCAAAGGCCTTAATCCAGTGTAGTTTGGTGAGTTTGCTCTTGCTGGTTAAAATCAGCAGATAATAGGCAGGTTTAGTAGGTATGTTTGAGCAGGAAAATGACCAAACCAATGACGTTGGTCCGAGTGGATCAGACACAGCAGTGCTGCTTGAGTTCTTAAACACTGTGTCCACTCACTGTCCACTCTATTAGACACTCCTACCTTGTCGGTCCACCTTGTAGATGTAAAGTCAGAGACGATAGCTCATCTGCTGCTGCACAGTTTGTGTTGGTCATCCTCTAGTCCTTCATCAGTGGTCACAGGACGCTGTTGGCTGGAAATTTTTGGTTGGTGGACTATTCTCAGTCCAGCAGTGACACTGAGGTGTTTAAAAACTCCAGCAGCACTGCTGTGTCTGATCCACTCAGACCAGCGCAACACACACTAACACACCACCACCACGTCAGTGTTACTGCAGTGCTGAGAATGATCCACCACCCAAATAGTACTTGCTCTGTGAGGGTCCATGGGGGTCCTGACCACTGAAGAACAGGGTAAAAGGGGGCTAACAAAGTATCAGAGAAACAGATGGACTACAGTCCGTAACTGTACAACTACAAAGTGCACCTATATAGTAAGTGGAGCTGATAAAATGGACAATGAGCGTAGAAACATATATGGTGTATAAAATACATGTGGACATTAACTCAATGTTGTGGACTATGTTGTCTCATGCAGTGAAACACCCACTATCAACAAGGTTAACTTCTCTTCTACGAGGTTGGCCACTATAGAAAAACTGTAATAAAACCTCAGAGGCGTTTAAGGTTAAAATATTCGCGTTAATCGTCTCAGAAACTCGGGCAGCCAGTCGTGCAGAGGAGAATCGATTCATGATCTGCTCAGTAAGCGAGGCTGTGTCGATATCAGTACCAATTTAGGTTCAAAGCTGCTTAAAACGTTTATTTTGCGTCTAAACTGAACGCAGTGTGAGTTACATAGTCAGTGTTTACTACGGAGAACATGACACAGCTGAGCTACCTGCCGATTAAAACGCCGTGCAAACTCAACACACTGGAAGTATTAAGAGTTAAAACGCTTTACTGGATACAAAAACAATCAGATCAAAAACAAACGCTCACGCGCGGCTCGCAGAGCTCCTGTTCATTGGCGGCGGCAGAGAATCAAAGCAGAGCGGCGCCTCTCTGTGACGTACGTTTTTGTCACATCGGGTTGTACGTCATATACATAGATATACATACCTAGATGCCGCATTGGGTCCAGCCAGGCACGTCAACGGCGCCGCCATTTTGGGGCGGTCAGCATCGCTGCTGGACAGCATTCAGTACCATTACAGAGCGGCAGGTTAAGAAAGATACTGTCCAAAATTACACTATTTCAAGAATATTACACTCAGAAAGTGGGATAGGATTATATAACGGAGGGAACGCAGTGATCCACACTCATGTTTGTGTGATGTGTATTGTTTGTGTGGTGTTCGTGTAGATATGGCCGTGTGGTTGGTGAAGCATAGAGAACCTGTTGATGTGATTGTTTTTCCTCTGGTTTTATATGAAGCTTATTTCATTTAGTAGTCCTTACACTCCTTAGTCCGTGTAGATATTTATAATAGATTAGCACCTTATTATACGAACGTGAAGCATCAGCCAGCATCATGTTCGAATTTTCCCGTTCCACCTTAAATGGTGCAGCTTCAGGCACCAGAAAGTGACTGCTGCACCATTTAAGGTGGAACAAGAAGCCGGCGAATAGGAAGCCAACTTCAGCTTCGTCCTTCTCACTGTGTTTTGGGGGTTTATTTTTATGTGTATTAAGATTATAAGTGATTCACACATTGATAGATTTGCTGATGTGTCTGATTGTGTTTCTCGCGCTAAACTCGGTTTTTAACGTCAGGTACAGACTGAATACTTTCCTGCTGGTCCGGACGGCGAATTATCACGATCAGTTATTAAAGTAATAAAAGCTACCCAGAGCAGATCCGTGCAGCCCAGATTAATCTACGTCTGAGGATTATAACAAAACAAATGTGGTGAAAATCGGTTGCGTAATAAGGAAGTTGTGGCTGATTTAATCCTGAGACTCTTCGTCTCTCAATACAAGTGAATCTGTTCACAAGCGGATCTTGACCTCTCCAACATGGCGGACGCGCAGACGTCTCGCCTCAGATAGAGAACAACAGACAACACGGCACTAGGAATGTATATCTATAGTCACATAGACCAGTAAAGAAACAGAAGGTTATTTGAAAAGGTTGAATGTTATTTTATTGTTATGTATTTTCATACATAAAGTAGGGTATAGGAAAACAACACCATCTTTCTACATGTTCCACAAGGAGCCCAGGTGCTATTTGAGAACCTTAGTGTGCATGAAAAAGAAAAATGAAAAAGGGGGATGTAATTGTCTCTCCCTTACACCCCATATATATATATATATATATGGAGCAGATTAATTAGATCGGATTAAGACACCACCGAGGGCACATCTGTATCTGACGGCTGGTAAATTCTGTAATCGTTGACTAAAACGATTCTTCGGTCACAAATCAAATGTAGACAGTTTTCTTATTTACCCCAAATGCAATCGACCAGACAGGACGGTTAAACCTGAATGAGTGACGCGGGTTATTAAATTTAGCCGCGGTTTTGCTTTAGAAGCTGCGGTTTAAACCGCACCTGCGGTTCAAACTGAGCCCAGTTTCTGAGTCTTTGGAAAACAACAAAAAAATCTGCCGCTAGATGTCGCTCTCCGTTCAACTTAGGTCTGTCTAAAACCTTATATATATATATATATATATATATATATATAATTTGCAAATACTTATGATGAATGGACCAAAAGAAATGACCCAAAATGACTGAAAAAAGTCTGGTTCCACTGACTTACATTAAAAAGTAGGCTTTCTCCTTCTCCTGTAAAGTTACCATTTTGGAGATATGAGGTTTTCTTCCGAAAGCAGCAAATTATGTTAAAATATATGCTAATAACAAATATATAATAACATAAAAACATCTAATAACTCATATATATTAATAAATATAATAAATAAGTTAATAATATAAAATAAAAAAACATGATTGATTGGTAATTTTATTCAAAATATCTTAGTCAACCTGAAATCAATCAATAATCCTGGAAAAGCCCCTGCTCTGCCCGTTTTACCCTGATCTCAACACACCTGATCCAGCTAATCAGTTCATCATCAACCCCTTCAGCCCGTCATCACTTGAAGTGGGTGTGTTGGGAATCGGGAACATACTAAAATGAGGGAGCTGGTAAAAAGAGGGTATCAGAATGCTGTTATTGTTTTGTTTGAAGCTGTATTCAAACTATAACATGCAAATAGCTTGTTTCTCAGCAACCATTTGCCAATCAGGTTGAAGTTTTGCATTAATAATGATCCAAAAAAACCACCTGTGGCATTTCAGAGAAATGAGTAATTCTTCAGCTGTTTTATGTCACACACAAAATATCAACTGTAACAAAAGCTTTGAAAATGTAAATCTACACAGAAGATAACATGCATTATGTATGTCGTGTAACAAAATATTATATTGAAGATGATGTACAATATATTCTATGTAGGTTTTGGAGAGTATGGATAACATTGCAATAGGCTGTAATATAGAAATAATGACATCTGGTTCTGCCCAGTTTCATTTGTCTGTGGTTATTTCTTTCACTAAAGGAAAGCCACATTATGAATCAGCACTGAGTCATAATGACTGAAACTTCTACAAGAAAAAAGAACAGGATACAATGACGATCAGCGATAATTCAGTGCTTTAATACCATAACTTTACATACAAAACAAAGAAACAAATTCTGCATTAGTCTAAGAAGAGAGTCTGCGCTGTACCAAGCCCAATTTTATCTTCCTCCAAAGACTGCTGAACCAACACAGTCTCACGGCTTACAAGTGAGGACAGCTCCAACAGCTCTGAAGACACACTGAAACGAAAGCAACACAACTATGTTAATATGGTTATCCGAACTATTGTAAATAACTTTTCACAAAATTCACAAACTTGCATCAAACAGCCGACTGTCCATAATCAACTTTGGCCACTTGGGCAAAAAAGTGGACTCTCTATTCTATCTATTGAGATTAATACTACATCTCAGAAGATTTACCACAACTGTTAGATAGGGTTTGGAGCTAGGGCTGGGCGATCTGGCCAAAAATCGTATGACGATAAAAAAATTCATATCACTTGATATCGATAGATATATCGATAAATGTCAAATCATTATTTCTTGCAAGTTTGAAGGCTGATTTTTGCTCCTGAGTGGTCAGTTGCTGCTTTAAACTATCCTTTATGGTCAGAACATGATAAACACTCAGCAAACAGTGGAACATTTCACAAATCTGTCATGGGACAGTGGGAGAAAGTTTCTGGTGAGCTGTTTTTACCAGCTGGAAAAGCACGGTCGCAATTTTTGTAATAGTCATAATTTAAGATAGAAAATAGGTTATTTTTAGCTGTCTGGTGACGAGCGCTGAACTGTTTAGTTTCTCAACGTCAGCTTAATACGAACAGCAAACATTAGCTGACTCAGTAGGCCAGTGATGGATCACACTGTCTTACCTGTATCACAGTATTCAGACACCAGCTAGCGATGTCTGGATTCCTCTATTGTATCGTAGTAGTTTGAGGGCTGAACCGCAGTATATCTGACGCTCGCTGTGTAAAAGCATTAACTGCAGTGTGATTCTCTCACACCAGACAAACAGAGTCCTCCTTTTAGGTACATTTAAACTGAAATCAGTGCTTTTTTGCCATGTTTGATCTACAGTAACATCAATTCTCTGTGCTGTGTGAGTGACGGAGCGCTGCTTCAAGTTAGCCAGCTGCTAAAAACAGCTAGCCTGGAAAGATAGCGCTCTCCCACTCTCCAATGCCTCACATACAGCATCTTCAGTTTACCTTCGTTTAAATCAGGGCTTTGGTTGTTTGGGAATGCACTAATACTAAAATATGACTGAGCGCTGTGACAGTGCTGTAGTTGTGAAAAGCAGACGTGATTTAACGCTGCTAAAGCTGTTAGGATGTACAGAAAGAGGTGAGTTCACTGTAGGACAGTACAGTTACACCATTTATCTCGTCACTCACACTCGGTCACAGGAGTGCAGATCGCCGGTCGCTCCACTGAAACAGGGAATATATAACTCCACGTTTCAGACGTTGCTAATGTATATTTGGCGACTCATTTCACTCCTTACCCAACCCCCCCCAAAAATCATGTTGAAAAACTCGGAGGTGCGCCCTCTTGTGGCGGCAGCACAGTAATGTCACTTTCCTTGCAGTAGAAAACGCCACCAGGGCTGTCACTAAATGTGTGAGGATGCTCTATTATATCAAACATTTATCGAACATTTCTTATACTTCTAATGAGGAAAGTTATATCCCAACAATCATCGTTATCGCTTTATCGCCCAGCCCTATTTGGAGCTAAACTCCAAAGGGTGGTAGATCTTCAGGACTGGGAAGCCCAGGGCAACTATCACCAAACGCTTGGAAGAACATGCCTTTAAGGACCTTAAATAAATGAAACAACTATTGGGGCCTAATTAGTTGTAAAAATGTATGGGGATATTTGTAAACATCTTAGCAACAAAGCATTATGTCTGTTCTATACACTGAAGAGCAGTAGGCAGACATACATTCTTGTATGAGTTAACTGAACAGTCCATTTCAGACTTTTTCTGACAAGCCAGCACTCCAAAAGTAGCCACTTTATAGTAGGTTAAGCTGAATTATGCAAAAGTTGCTAACTATGTGAAGCAGTGAACTAAGCTGCTTGTTTAGCTGCTTGGGTAGGTGCTGCACCTCGCACTGTAACTACAAACGTCAGTTAGGGACCTTTTTTTTGTTTGTGGCCTCAAATAAATCTGTGCATGTGCCTTTACTGACGCTGCCAGTCTGTTTTGGATTATATTGACCATCATAATTGTAGGAAATGGTGCAGCATGGCATTCTCTGCTTTGTTGTCCAGAGTAGCACATGTTCATTTCGAATTTTCACTGTACAGTATTTCATCTTCTAAATTACACAGTGTGTGTACAAAGGCCTACTTTGCATTAGTAGCGGTGTCATGGTTATTCTCTTACCTGAGCAGCTGCTGGTCAATCTCATGCGCTGTGTTTTTCATTTCTTTAAGGCACTCAACAGCACTTTCACTGCCTGTGGAAGCATCCTTTACATACTGCTCCAAGGCTCGCTGACTCTGATTCAGACAGACAACTGCCTTATCTGTATGACAAGAGAAAGCATTATATGTAACATGAAGTTGACAGTGCATTTTATTAATAAAGTGATGACCCTGCTATTAATACATAGAGCTTTTGATGAAATTCTGAAGCTCTAGTAGGTTTTTGATCTACTGTTTGTGAGCAATGACATAATATTGGAAAATGCTGCTTTAACACCAGCTGCACAACACTTTTGGGACTACAGATGTACAGAATACAACAAATGTTATACAAGTCTTTTTCTTGAACACACCGATCAGGCCTAACATTATGACCACCTCCTTGTTTCTATGCACCCTGTAGTCCATCTGTTTCTTTGCATACTTTGTTAGCCCCCTTTTACCCTGTTCTTCAGTGGTCAGGACCCCCATGGACCCTCACAGAGCAGGTACTATTTGGGTGGTGGGTCATGTTCAGCACTGCAGTGACACTGATGTGGTGGTGGTGTGTTAGTGTATGTTGCGCTGGTCTGAGTGGATCAGACACAGCAGAGCTGCTGGAGTTTTTAAACACTGTGTCCACTCACTGTCCACTCTATTAGACACTCCTACCTTGCCAGTCCACCTTGTAGATGTAAAGTCAGAGACGATAGCTCATCTGCTGCTGCACAGTTTGTGTTGGTCATCCTCTAGTCCTTCATCAGTGGTCACAAGACGCTGCCCACAGGACGCTGCCCACAGGACGCTGTTGGCTGGATATTTTTGGTTGGTGGACTATTAGTCCAGCAGTGACACTGAGGTGTTTAAAAACCCCAGCTGATCCACTCGTACCAGCACAACACACACTAACACACCACCACCGCGTCAGTGTTACTGCAGTGCTGAGAATGATCCACCACCCAAATAGTACCTGCTCTGTGAGGGTCCATGGGGGTCTTGACCACTGAAGAACAGGGAAAAATTGGACTAACAAAGTATGCAGAGAAACAGATGGACTACAGGGTGCATAGAAACAAGGAGGTGGTCATAATGTTATGCCTGGTCAGTGTATATGTAACATGAAGTGGACAGTGCATTTTTGTAATAAAGTGATGACCCTGCTATTAATAAATAGAGCTTTTGATGAAATTCTGAAGCTCTAGCAGGTTTTTTGATCTACTGCTTTAACACCAACTGCACAACACCTTTGGGACTATAGATGTACAGAATATAACAAATGTTTTACAAGTCTTGTTCTTGAATGCTGACGGAAATTCTACTCACTGGCAGCGACAATTATAAAAATTTTACTGTTTTTCTGTTCTTATAGAGAAACATTTCACCAACCCAGAAATTTCCCCCGATCCTCTTCAATGTGCAGGTTCTTCACGGGTAACTCATGGCGAGTCGTGTCTATGGCTGTGGCAAACGTCTTGTACTCCTCTGTGAATTGTTTTGCAGTGGCAGCTGCAGGAGTTAGTGCTGTGATCTGCGGACAGAAGACAACACCCCAAAAAAGCATGACATAAATACTGAAAAACATTCGCATGACTATAGAAAACGAACTTTGGAATTCGTAAAAGTAACCTGCAGGTTGAGCAAATCGTTGAGCTGCTTGTGTTTTTCAAGAAGGAGGTACTGTCGCTTCTTGCTCATGACTTTCAAACGCAACTTTTCCTCTTCCTCCATCATTATAAGGAGATTCCTCTCTGCCTCTTCCTTCAGTTTATGGGTATTATGTTCAATCTGCATAAAAACAAACAGCTTAAAGTGGCTAGATGACAGGTTGCACAGCAAACAGTGATAAGAGGGGTGAAGGAACACAGCTCAGATGACCATTTGGTTATTCTGTTATCATTGCATTTGTACAAATCTAACTGTAATGTTACATTAATCAGTAAATCCCATAATCTCATTCACTAATGGTAGTAAAACATCTCCTGTGTCCATTCCAACTGCAGACCAGAGCCACATCCAGAATGAGACTTCCTTTGCCATCTCCGTTGCTGGATATCTTCCTGATCTATGCCATATGGATGCAAATTCTAATGAGCTCTTTAGTGAGGCCACAGATCAGGCAAAATCAAGGAAAGCCGATAGAAAAGGAAGCTCTACAACAGCCCAAGCAACTCAAATTTGACAAAACACGGCTATTATTATTCAGACGCTCCTAAAGGCACTAATGAACCAGATCAGACATGTTTCATTATGTTTGAAAATGATATCTGCAAGACAGCAGATCTCCAGGAGCTTGGACCAGCAACTTTATTGGCTCAAGCTCAGTAGCTACGTTTACAAGCAGCCTAATAATCTGTTAATAATCCGACTAATAGCTCAATCGGAATAGAATACGTCCATGTAAACGTCCATGGAATAGACTAGTCCGATTGAGGCCATTCGGAATACAATCTCTATCCGACTGAACGAGGTGGGTAATCCTGTAAATAATCCGTTAAATAGAAGAATAATATCCGTGTAAACGCCTGTATCTGATTACATTCCCTGTCGGAAAGTTTAAGTCCGTTCTGATCATGTTCGTCGCGTCATAGTGAAAGTTTATACTGTTCAACATGGCGGAGCAGAAACTGGTCTGCAGAGGAGACGAAGTTTATGCTCTGATCTTTAAAAGACGGCGGTGGGACGGACGTCCAGTTTACGTGTCTCAGAACACGACGTCTTCCTCTCGGCCTTCTTTAATAAGGACATGTGAAGGACGTTTTCCTGAGTCTGACATATTTAAAGCAATTCAAAACACAAGCGCACCTACTGAAAACTCATCTCACTCTGACTGGACCTCACGTGATGTTCACTGTCATGGTAACGTTTACTCCAAGTGGTTCTCTATGCATGCGCATCATTTTGGGTCGGATTACTTGTAGTGAGCATGTTAACGAAGATTTTCCATCAGATTGTTGAGTGAGCATAAACACCTCAGTATTAATCTGTAATCGGAATGTATTCAATTAGATCGGCAAAAATCTTTGCATGTAAACAAAGCAACTTTGAGCAAATTTCTTTAAAAACAATACTGCAAACCACATTAATGACTTATTATCCTTGATCACCCCTGGACCTAACCTTAGCAGTGAGGAAGGCCAGCAAGAACGTCTCCAACTCCAAGTTCCTCTTCTGAGCTTTAGGGTCCACTGAACTTGGTGGTGCTGCATTTTCTGAAAAAGATATTGCCTCGTATGAATCACAGAGACCTGCATTCTGTATTCCTGTATTTCTAAATCGTGCAAATGTCAAGGCGTACCTTTAATCACAGAGAGGTCAAAGTCTGGGCGCAAACAGTGGCCGTCCAGCACTGTTGACTGCAAGACATTTCCTCCGAAAGCTGAGGTCTCTAAAATGCTTGGCATAACTGCCGGTGGGAGAGATTTTCCATCACATAAAACTGTATAAGTATTAACATCTGATATCCTAGCATTATTAAACTTGTACATGAGCTAAATACAAACGATCTGTAGGTCATCTGAATAAAGAAGTACTGATGAGCTGCAAAAATGTGAGCAACAGATAAAAATATTACAAAACATAATCAACTGCCCTGCATTAGCACAAACAGAGCCAATGACATACGCATGGAGTTTTGATCAGGTTGCCCGGATAATCCGGTTAATGTTCGTCTTGGTGGAGTACCAACTCTGGGTTTGTGGGCACCACTTGCTTTAGGGGAAGCAGGCCTGGGTGGTACAAGGACAGACTCATTCTGCATATTATTCTGAAAGAAAAACAGAGCACAGAACACAGATGAGGCCTCAGTACTACCATATCCTGGTACAGAGGGAAAGAACTGCATTAAATAACCTGTTCTGACATTCTGCAGTGTGCAGACAGCCTCTCTGAAACAGAAGTACAGGGTGTCCCAAAAAAATTTACATCATTTCGTGGTCTAATAACAGCCAATTCTCCCTCAAATGATCTCAAATTTTAATAAAATGTGTAAAAACTAACCAAGTTTAATTTTTAATGTTTTTTCAGGTTGAAGAATGGCGTTCACTAGAAATGAAGAGGCATTTTGTGTGTTAGAATATGCTCAAACACAGTCAAACGAGAGAGTGCAGCAGCATTTTCGAGAAAATTCTCTAAAAATGCACCAACTGGAAAGCAGATCTGGACATGGCACAAAAAACTCAAAGAGGAAGGCTGTCTGTCTGGACGACCACCAGTATCGGAAGATATTACGTTTGTGAAGCTGTGAAATCGGTTATAAAATCTACATCCCTCTGAATTTCTTGTTCTAATTTTGATAAATAAATCTTGTATTGTTCAACATGAAGCCTATTTAATTTTGTTTGCCTACGACATGTAGTTACTTAGATATTGAGATCTCAAATGATGTCAATTTTTTGGGACACCCTGTACTTTATATAAATATGTATAATAAAATGATAAATGAAAAAACTACCTTTGCCACAGATGTTTTCTTTTCAGTCTGCATATATCGAGACTTCACAATTGTTCCAGATGCTGAAAAAGACAACAGATGGCAGAAGACAGCAAAAAGTAATTTAACACCACAGACATATTTAATCGAATATTCTGTTCTGTTCAAATACAACATTCAGTTAATCGACTATTCGGTTTAAATACTTTACATTTAGTCTTCCTTCGAGCTCCGCTGCTGTTGTTTCCACAGCTGGTGTCATTTCCAGAAGCTGAACTGAAACGAAAAGAAAGCGAAGTTTAGACAGTGGTGGACAGTAATGAAGTAAATGTAATTCATTTCTGTACTTAAGTAGTTTTTCATGTATCTGTACTGAAGTATTTCCATTTTGGGCGACTTTTTTACTTTCACTCCACTACATTTCAAAGTCTAATATCTCACTTTTTACTCCACTACATTATGAGAAATCTGTCGTTCCTTTTGGTTTATGTGTGTATAAAAACGTAACATGTCAAAACGAAAGAAGCGCGAAGCAACAACACCAATCAGGGCACAGCGGTCACTTAGTTTTGAGCTTGTTTTGACCTGTTGGACATACCGACCCAGTGCAGCACACGGTTCAACATCAGTGCAGCAGCGTAAAATTGTGGGAGAGTCTATTCAACATAAATGATGAACTAACCTAACTTTGTGTAAACAGACCACAATATAGAAATATGTACACATATGCAGTTGTGACTGACGTGTCTTTTTTCTGAATTTATACAAACAATATTTCATTTTATAGTAAATTAGTTTTGGCTAGTTTATGTTTATGAACAGAGACCTACAGATGCAGTTTAGTAAAGGAAACTCATTTGTGAACCTGAGTTTAAAGTTTTTATTAAACTTAAACTTGTAACTAAGTTGCAAATAAATCTTAAACTGAAACTTTGCTTGTTTGCATAAAGTGATTTCAGAGCCACTCAGTTCTACCTGATGGAAACTGTTTGCCTTCAGTGTTTTGTGCTTATGATAATTTTAATAGACATCAGCGTCACTAATTAATGACATTCTATTACAAGACTGGTTTACCAAGAGAGACACTGGAGTATTTTCACCTAAAATGAGTTACAAAAATGATAATAGGACATCAGAGTCATAATTAATCTTTTAGTACTTTCACTTTGGATACTTAAGTACATTTGAAGGCAAATACTTTAGCACTTTTACTCAAGTGGAGGTCTAAAAGGAGGAACTTCTACTTTTACTGGAGTAATATTTTACCTTGGGTATCTCTACTTTAACTCAAGTACAGGGTTTGTGTACTTCGTCTACCTCTGCTACTGTTTCAGCAAAACACAAAGACAATATTCTGGGTATGGTTGAGTTATTTAATCTCATGGCTGTCTGGTGTGAGTCAGTCAGTCCATCAGTGGTAACGTTAATAACAGTGTTTATAGCTTCGTTACTGAACAGAAATCTGCGTATTGTTTTGCTATAAAGGCACCAACGTTTCCCCTCAGCCAGCTGGTTCATTCTACCAGTCCTGTAAACTGTTAGAGTATTGATTTCTTACTTCTGAGAGTCTTCAGCGGCCGTTTTCTGCACTTTCCGAACATTTAGACTCTTCTTGGTCGCCATTCTGTAAACAAAGCTTTTCGCGGCTTCCCTCCGCGTTTGATCTTCTTCTTCTTCTTCTTCTTTCATGTGAATGGAGGTTGGCAGGCCAACGTGTGGCGCATTACCGCCCCCTACTGAGCTGGATTGCGGCGTGAGACTTCAAAAGCGCATCACTTGAAAAAAATCATGTAATAATATTGTTAGATTTACGGAGCCCTGATGATGAAATCCTGTATAAATAAAAATAATGCGTGGCCACGCCTTATTAACGTGTGGGAACAAGATCCTAATGTGTGGCCATGACTTAGTAAGGCGTGGGAATGAGATCGAGGCTTACTAAGTCGTGGCCATGCATTAGGATCTTGTTCCCATGCTTTACTAAGTCATGGCCACGACTTAATCATCACATTCACATCACATTTTTGCTGTTTCACAGAACCGACAGGTCAGTATTTTGTCTCGTTTGCTAATGTTTGTGATAGCTAGTCGCAGCTGCTGCAGCATTTAAGGTGAAATGGGAACATTCAAACAAGAAACTGGCAAAAAAAGAAGCTAAATTCAGCCTTGTAGTTTAACACCAGTAGTATTTTGATAAGGAGTTTTAGTCTATTAAAATATCCCACCTAGAGGTTTTATTTACGGGTGTACCTGTAATTATGTGCTACGGTGGAACATTTCGATAAGGTAGCACAGCTCGTCAGAGCACCGTCTTAGTTTCGTGTAGCTTAGTGACATCAAACTGCTGACATCATATACACTAAGTTAACATTACAGCAATTATTCATGCGAATAAAGTCATTTCATTTAAACTTATCAATTGTGTTTACACTCAGAGTCAGGTACAGGCAGAGAATCACAGAGCAAAGCCATTACACAGCAATGTCTAACGGAGAAATCTGTTTTTTCAACCTATGCTTCCATAATGCTCCTTGTCCTTTCACCATGTCAGCTAGGTTAGCTATGCTATATTGCCAAAAGTATTCACTCGTCTGCCTTCACACGCATATGAACTTGAGTGACATCCCATTCTTAGTCCACAGGGTTTAATATGATGTCGGCCCACCCTTTGCAGCTATAACAGCTTCAACTCTTCTGGGAAGGCTTTTCACAATGTTTGGGAGTGTTTATGGGAATTTTTGACCGTTCTTCCAGAAGCGCATTTGTGAGGTCAGACACTGATGTTGGACGAGAAGGCCTGGCTCGCAGTCTCCGCTCTAATTCATCCCAAAGGTGTTCTATCGGGTTGAGGTCAGGACTCGCTCATCCATGTCTTTATGGACCTTGCTTTGTGCACTGGTGCGCAGTCATGTTGGAACAGGAAGGGGTCGTCCCCAAACTGTTCCCACAAAGTTGGGAGCATGAAATTGTCCAAAGTCTCTTGGTGCTGAAGCATTAAGAGCTCCTTTCACTGGAACTAAGGGGCCGAGCCCAACTCCTGAAAAACAACCCCTCACCATAATCCCCCCTCCACCAAACTTTACACTCGGCACAATGCAGTCAGACAAGTACCGTCTCCTGGCAACCGCCAAACCCAGACTCGTCCATTGGATTGCCAGATGGAGAAGCGTGATTCGTCACTCCAGAGAACATGTCTCCACTGCTCTAGAGTCCAGTGGCGGCGCTTTACACCACTGCATTCGGCGCTTTGCATTGCGCTCGGTGATGTAAGGCTTGGATGCAGCTGCTCAGCCATGGAAACCCATTCCATGAAGCTCTCTACGCTGTTCTTGAGCTGATCTGAAGGCCACATGAAGTTAGGAGGTCTGTAGCGATCGACTCGGCAGAAAGTTGGCGACCTCTGCGCACTATGCGCCTCAGCATCCGCTGACCACGCTCTGTCATTTTACGTGGCCGATCACTTCGTGGCTGAGTTGCTGTCGTTCCCAATCGCTTCCACTTTGTTATAATACCACTGACAGTTGACTGTGGAATATTTAGTAGCGAGGAAATATCACGACTGGACTTGTTGCACAGGTGTCGTCCTATCACGGAACCACGCTGGAGTTCACTGAGCTCCTGAGAGCGACCAATTCTTTCACTAATGTTTGTAGAAGCAGTCTGCACGCCTAGGTACTTGGTTTTATACACGTGTGGCCATGGAAGTGATTGGAACACCTGAATTGAATGATTTAGATGGGTGAGTGAATACTTTTGGCAAAATAGTGTATGTTAGCATCAAGCTCAGTGCTATGTGAGATTTTTGTCAGCTCTGGTTTAAATACAGACATTTAAGCTCCTAACAGGCCTCTAAGTAATCTAGATCTAGAGTGCAGTATAACCACTACAGAGATGCTGGAGTCTTTTACTTTACTCCAACAAACAGAGCTTGTCCAAATTATTTCATCTTCAAAAATAACAACTTGTATACTAGATCCTATTTCTACAGGTTTACTTAGAGACGTTTGGCCAGAAATAACCAAGCCTTTTCTATCTATAATAACTCTTCTCTCAGCCTCGGCTATATTGCTGTAAGTCTCTTAAATTAGCTGTAATTAAACCCCTAATTAAGAAACCTAATCTTTATCCCTCTGAGTTATCAAACTGTAGACCTATTTCAAATCTTTCCTTTTTATCAAAAACTTTAGAGAAAGCTGTGGCAAAACAATTATGTTCCCATCTGCATAGGAGTGATATATATGAAAAATTTCAGTCTGGCTTTAGGCCTCACCATAGTACTGAAACAGCGTTAGTGAAAATTGTGAATGATCTTTTATTAACTGCTGACAAATGAAAACATATCCCTACTGGTTCTACTTGATCTTAGTGCAGCTTTTGACAAATAGACCATTCCATTCTATTAGACAGGCTTGAAAAGCTATTAGGAGTGACAGGTAAAGCTCTCACAAGAGTAAAGTATGGTGTTCCACAGGGCTCTTCTTAGGACCCATATTATTTATCTTATATATGCTACCACTAGGTACCATCATTAGAAAACATGGCATCAGTTTCCACTGCTATGCGATGATACACAATTGTATATTTCAGCTAAACCAGAGGACAAAACTGAACTTAATAAGATAGAGGACTGTGTCAAAGACATTAAAGAATAGATGTCAAGTAACTTCCTCTTACTAAATTCGGACAAAACAGAAGTTCTTCTTGGTCCAAAGGTTGCTAGAGATAATCTGCCTACATTAACTCTTAATCTCGATAGTTTCTCTATTGCACCAGGCACATCTGTAAAAAGTCATGGTGTCACGATCGATCCCAGTCTGGCCTTCGATGAGCATATTACCAATATTACCAGAATAGCTTTCCTCCACCTGCGTAACATCGCTAAATTAAGAAATGCACTGTCGCTACAGGATGCAGAAACGTTAGTTCACGCCTTCATCACGTCCAGGTTAGATTACTGTAACGCTCTGCTTTCTGGTTGTTTCAGCCAAAACCTTAACAAGCTTCAGTTAGTCCAGAACACTGCAGCCAGAGTTCTCACCAAAACCAGGAAATTTGACCACATTAGCCCAATTTTGTGTACCTTACATTGGTTGCCAGTTAAATTCCCCATTGAGTACAAAATTCTTCTGCTGACGTATAAAGCTCTGAATGGCCTTGATCCTCAGTACCTCAGTGACCTTATTTCCTATTATCAACCGACACGCCCACTTAGATCACAAGGTGCTGCTCATTATTAGTACCCAGAATAAATAAAGTTACATCAGGGGGAGGAGCCTTTTCAAAGAAAGCCCCCTAGCTTTGGAATAGCCCACCAGTCTGTGTTCGGGACTCAGACACAGCCTCCATCTTTAAGTCTAGGCTAAAAACTTACCTGTTTAGTCGAGCCATTGGTTAATTAGTTTTCCTGTTAGAATAAGGTGCAGATCTGGGGGTTCACGGACAGAGAGTCTTATGGTAATCTGGGAATGTTGGTGCTGTCGTCCCACTGCTTCACTCAAGTTTGTTGACGATGGAGCAGAGGGGCGCTGACTTCTCAGGGAGCCCTCATGTCCTTGTTACCTTCTGGCTCTCCCTCTTAGTTATGCTGCCATAGCCAGGCCTACCGCTGCACTCTGTCAACTCTCTATTCTGTTCGGTCATCCATGACAGAACTAACTATCTGTCCCCCTTATCCCCCCTCCCCCCTCTTCCCCCTCCCCCTCTCTTTCCCTGAGCTGAGCGGCTGCCCGTCCCAAGAGAGTCTGATGTGAACACCACTCAATCCCGTCCCAGGGGGGTCTGATGCGGCCGGCGCTCCGTCCTGTGTGGTGCTGTCGCTTCGTCTGCCATGACTGGATGGGCTGCTCGCGTGCATCATAGAGCCTTGTGCTATGTGGATCCTTGTGTGGTCTTCACTGTACAACTCCATACCCAACAGTGTACAGAAGTGTAAAACTGTATCCACTTATACTGTTTTGTGTCTGTGCTGTTATCCGGTGTCGACCAGAGGAGGATGGGTTCCCCTTTTGAGTCTGGTTCCTCTTGAGGTTTCTTCCTTCTGTTGAGGGAGTTTTTCCTTGCCACTGTCGCCAAGGCTTGCTCACTGGGGACGTGGACCCGGATTCTCTGTAAAGCTGCTTTGTGACAACATCTGTTGTAAAAGGCGCCATATAAATAAATTTGACTTGACTAAGTAACATTCTTTATATTGTAAGCCTCAGTCTTTGAGTAATGCTTTATTTAACCGTTTGAACCTGAAGTCTGTCTTTTATTGTTGTAGCATTAGCCTGTTAGCTGGTTAGCTTTCCGCTACCTGCTCAGCCTACTCTGGTAAGGTCAGAACCCAGTTATAAAGAGAAAATAAAGTGTAAACCAGTTAAAGAGAGCCTGTTAAGAGCAAAGGGTAATGCTGAGCTGGCAGTTTGTTATCTGAGCTTTTTCAAGGAGTCTTTACAACATTTACATGTTTGCTGAAGCTCTGTGCTCTTTAGCTATGCTTGTAGCATTCCTGATCTTTCCGTAATTTGTTCTTGTCACACAACGCCTCAGAGATATGGAAGTCCAGAGAGGTCATAAGATGTGGCTATCATTTTCTGGAGTGTTATATAAAATAAAACAAAATACATATAAAATAAAATACAATCAAATATTTTATGTTATTGTATTTTATTTTATTTTATTTTATTCACTACATGTAAATGTCTGTCTGATTCTGTG